TGATAATGCTGCCTTGTTGTTTGAGAATGCTGCCTTGTGGTTTGAGAATGCTGCCTTGAGGTTTCAATTCATGCTTAGAACACTATATGAGTTACATTATAGTTTGCAAGTGCCGCCTTGTGGTTTGAAAATGCTGCCATGTAGTTTGAGAATGCTGCCTTGTAGTTTGACAATGCTGCCTTGTGGTTATACAACTCTGCCTTGAGGTTTCAATTTATGCTTAGAACACTATATATGAGTTAAATTATAGTTTGCAAGTGCCGCCTTGTGGTTTGAGAATACTGCCTTGTAGTTTAAGAATGCTGTCTTGTAGTTTGAGAATTCTGCCTTGTGGTTATACTACTCTGCCTTGTGGTTTTAATTATGCTTGGAACAATATATATATGAGTTATATTATACTTTGCAAGTGCTGCCTTGTGGTTTGAGAATGCTGCCTTGTAGTTTGAGAATGCTGCCTTGTGGTTGTACAACTCTGCCTTGAGGTTTCAATTTATGCTTAGAACACTATATATGAGTTACATTATAGTTTGCAAGTGCCGCCTTGTGGTTTGAGAATGCTGCCTTGTAGTTTGAGAATGCTGCCTTGTGGCTATACTACTCTGCCTTGAGGTTTCAATTCATGCTCAGAACATTATACATGAGTTGCATTATAGTTTGCAAGTGCCGCCTTGTAGTTTGAGAATGCTGCCTTGTAGTTCGAGAATGCTGCCTTGTGGTTAGAACACTATATATGAGTTACATTATAGTTTGCAAGTGCCGCCTTGTGGTTATACTACTCTGTCTTGTGGTTTTAATTATGCTTAGAACACTATATATGAGTTATATTATAGTTTGCAAGTGCCGCCTTGTGGTTTGAGAATGCTGCCTTGTAGTTTGAGAATGCTGCCTTGTGGTTATACTACTCTGCCTTGCCTTGTGGTTTTAATTATGCTTGGAACACTATATATGAGTTATATTATACTTTGCAAGTGCCGCCTTGTGGTTTGAGAATGCTGCCTTGTAGTTTGAGAATGCTGCCTTGTGGTTATATATGAGTTATATTATAGTTTGCAAGTGCCGCCTTGTGGTTTGAGAATGCTGCCTTGTAGTTTGAGAATGCTGCCTTGTGGTTATTCAACTCTGCCTTGTGGTTTTAATTATGCTTTGAACACTATATATGAGTTATATTATAGTTTGCAAGTGCCGCCTTGTAGTTTGAGAATGCTGCCTTGTAGTTTGGGAATGCTGCCTTGTGGTTTTAATTATGCTTAGAACACTATATATGAGTTACATTATAGTGCCGCCTTGTGGTTTGAGAATATCCCCTTGTAGTTTGAAAATGTTGCATTGTACTGTAATACTCTGCCTTGAGGTTTCAATTTATGCGTAAAACATTATATTTGAGTTGCATTATAGTTTGCAAGTGCCGCCTTGTGGTTTGAGAATATCGCCTTTAATAATATTGTCACATACATAGGAAAATCTATATTTGACATGTTTAATATTCAGATAAATGCAATAAATATGATTTACAGATGTAATGTTGCATTATGTTCTTGCCTTCCTTAGTTGTCCAGATTACATACATGTAGGTATATTATATATAGAATAAACTGTTTTTCATACAATTATGACATCACAATATACAGGTACATTGTACGGGTACACTTTGAATTAAAAGAATTAATTATGATTTTACCTTTACCTGTATATTGTGATGTGTGTTAATGTATGAAAAACAGTCTACCTGATGAAGATTTTATTTTGTTTTTATTGCAAATACGTTCTTATTGCAATTATACATTATTTTTAACAACAAAACCCTTCTTATTTTCACCCTGAGTCTCATTTAAAATCTGAAATGTACCTTATCATTTCTCACAGTGCGCCAGAAGTACGACTTTTATAGGTCCCTTACACATGCCTACATCGGACCTGGTTATCTGACATTATCTTCGTAAATGCTTGCTCGAAAATCGAAATTTCCTTGAAAAGTCCAGGGTTTGATGATGGGGTGGTACTTAATTAACTCGCTAAATATAGTTTTATACCAGTGGGACGAAATACAAGTATCAATCCTTTAAAGTTTGTCCGAGAGAGAAATCTAAAACAATAGCAATGGTAATACTAGTTAGATTTGTTATCTAGAAATTAAATCAAAAAAGCTCAGTGACATTTGAAGTACAAAAACAATGTCGTGCATTATAAAAACAACAAGTCTGTCAACCACGGTTGTCTCCCGGCAATCTTGTTGATGAATGAATTTGCTTACTTGATGAATTAAAATGTGCATCTGTTAAAAGTGTATTAGGTATCCGGGATTAGGTATATGTTCTCTAAAGTGATAAGAAAATATGTATGCGCAAGGGCTCATACGAATCAGAGGAATTATTAAAGTATTTCAATTAAACACTCATGAATATGTTGGTCTGTCATGGCGGATTTTAACTAAGATATAAATGTACATTGGTTATGTATTAAGTTTCTACATAGTGTATGTTATCACAAATTGTACTGTTGTGCGAAGAGCGTGCAAAGAGATTTCAATAATTAGTCACAACGCGTGCAAAGACTTTTGTTACAGTCTTTACACGTCTATACACTTTGTGTACCAAGAGGTGTAAAGGCGTGTCAAGAGTTGAATTCGTCGCGTTCCAAGAGGTGTCAAAACTAGGAACGCCTATACACGCGGCGTGACAAGAGCCGTATCTAGACGTGTCAAGTTTTGGAATTCCATTTTTCACGCAGTGTATGTCAGCCAATTAGGTAACACTATTGATTAATCATGCGATTGAGTATCAATATACTCACCAACAAATACCAACTTTAGAATTGAGAACTGCATTTCGCGAGCAACTACGCGTCCTGTTACTCCGGGTTTGACAAGACTTACATATGTACAGGTACCATATACATATATATATCGACTTAAAACGTGATCATGTAGATATAAAGACGAGAACAATTTTTATTGTAAGCTATAATTATTTATATCATTTTTCAACAGATGCATCGAATACTAAAAGTCTAACAATATGCACTATTTTACGACTGATTTCATGAGTTCATTTTAAATGATCTGCAATGTTAATAGAAGTAAAAGTCTGGAACGTTCAGAGTTGCACGGACATATGCACTTCGTCTGCATGTATATACGAGAGATGGGCGCACGACTGGCGATTCATAGATCTATGAAGGTGTGACAAGGCACAGCGTGAACAATATCGTACCTAAAACAAAGCAATGTGGGCTTGTTGACCCAGAAAACAAGATGGCCGCCAAAATGTTCATCAGCTCTTGAACTTCTTATAACGATGGAACATGTGTAAAAGTTTGAAACAATTGGTTTTCCTCATATCGCGATGACAAGATTTATCTAAAAACTAACATGTGTAAAAATTTGAAGTACTTTGATGTAATTCCGTTCTGTGGTTTTCATGGAATCACGATGTCCATCTAAAAAATTTCCAAACTGGCCACCAGAATGCAAAATTGCCGCTGATGGTGTTAATGTATTGCAAGAAATTTGTTACAGACGCCGTACAAAAAAAGTTGGGGACCATAACAATATGTCACCTTGGGTGGTGACATAAAAACGATATCAGTATTGTGACTAAAATAATTGACTACATACAAAAATAATAATCGGAGGGGTGATTTGAAAATGGAGGGGCTGGTTTAAAACAGTGGATGCATTCGATCAAGGGTGTTGATACAAATGCATCGACTGTAAAGTGTTTAGTGTAGGTGTTTCTATTGATGTATATCATCGTAAATACTAAATTAAATTCCCCCTTCAATAAGCAGAAAACAATTGGAAACGTGTGTTTATGTTCTTCATACATGCATAAATTCAATTCATAATAATATATACATATTGATGAGAGATAACATAGTTTTTATTAAAATACAGAAATGCGTATCATTAAAAGATCACGTCACTTGGTGCATGGGTCTCAAGATGCTGAAAATAGATGAAATGAATGGTAATTATAACTAAGATATTTTGGTAGAGTATTCCCGAGAACATCAAAAACATCATATGTTAGGTTTAAATTGCTGAAATACACAGGAGAGCAGTTTGCTATATTATTCGATGAATATATGAATGTAGATCACTCGTGTTCTTTGTTATTATATTGATTGCAGGATACTTACTTTAAACAAAAGAGTCGACGTTAACTCTAGCGGTATTCATTTGGACAAACTAGAAATAAAATAAATTAATGACAGCAATTCCTATCATGATTTTGTAAAGAACGTAATTTACCTTGTGGACAATTTTTAAATATACATCCTGGTTGTTAATAATTATTTCTATTGGCTGATTTCAACATATGTATTGTAAAATTGAAATCACTTCCTCATTTTCAAGCCCACGTGTTATAATATTCTAAAATTCTATATTTTTATATGATGCATGTATCTGTTATCATATTGTTTTGTAACAAGAACAACCCTGAAAATTACTCAACTGCTGGAAGCAATAACACATACTACATGTTCATGTATATGAGTGTGTGTGTGTGTGTACAGTGTTAATAGCAAGATATCCAAAAATCTAGTATACATGTACAGAAACTGGTAATTAGGAATATATGATAGCCATACCTTCGCTGACTGTCTCTTTGTTCAGTACATTTCCCATTAGCATCCAACTTATCCTGCTTGCTCCTGGTACAAAATGTTACTTTATCATTTGAACAATAAAGCTCGCATGCTTGCCCGTCATACGCGAACGCCCCATTATTAGGGTCATTTTCATCATGTTGCCGACCTATCGTCTACCTGTTTAGACATAGGTATACGTAATCCACTGTCCCTATTTTTAGAAATGGGTACAGTTGCATTGCATGCCGTCAAAAAGACTATACATCATAAACTGTCTATATATATGTGTCTATTATCAAATAAAAAATACATAGGTGAACGTCATTGCAAGAATAACATAAAATGGCATTGTGTTTTCATGAATTCTATTGGAGATTATGTTTATTAAAGGTAATTTTATTTATCTTCATCAGGTACAGAATTATGTTTTCCTATGATCGTGTCTAATATGACCAATTCACTTCTTTTTCACCATGTCGTCACATTAACACTTATCCTATAATAGAAGATAGAATTTTAAAGTCTGTGTATGTGTTCAAGACCTGGAAATGTTTTAAAAACGTACACTTATTCACTGGTGATCCGCTCGATTACGCTGGATACCGAAACGGTTCGTTTTGGTAACAAAATGTCGGAACGTCGAAGATACGATTTTTCTTTTTTCCTTATTTCACGCGTTGTAGGCAGAATCCCCACGACGTTTTTTCTCACAAACGTGTATCAGTATCAAATGTTTAAAAAATGTACATATTTGCTAACAAATAGTTCAGAAGACAACAGAATCGTCGATTTAATTCCTCACTTAAGTTACATAAACGGTTTTTCGAAAAACAGTTATGATCTGCACTTTTAACCCAAACCGTTTATGGAACTTAAATCGACGATTCTGTTGTCTTCTGAGCTATTTTTTTCGCAAATGTGTACATTTTCTAAAACATATGATGCTGATACACGTTTGTGAGAAAAAAAAACGTCTCGGGGATTCTGCCTACAACGCGTGAAATAAGAAAAATCGTACCTTCGACGTTCCGACATTTTGTTACCAAAACGAACCGTTTCGGTAACCAGCGTAATCGAGCGGATCACCAGTGAATTCGTGAACATTTGACTTAAAAGTATAAATAGTTCTAATATTAAATGCTATACATATTTCCATCGTGTGGAACAGTCGGTACAACGGAACAAGTATCATAATTTTTTTAAATAAAATGTACACTACAAGGCCTATTTAATTTTGAATACCGTTATCGTCATAATTCTTATGATAGTAGCGGAACCCCTCATCGGTGCTATGAGGTATCACGATGGGACGTACACGCAAAATGCAATAACCATTCAATAAAAACTATCAGACCTACCTCTCAAATTTCTGATACATCTCCCGTTGCATCTTATATAGCCTTTCTGACAGTAACATCCGTCTCTGGGGCGTTTAGTACACCACGTAACTCTCTCATTTGCACAATGAGCCTCACATGCTTGACCACCATACAAGAATACTTCGTTAACGCCACATGTCATTGCTAAAAGATTCAATTAGTAAACTACACTACGACTAGAAAAAGCTAAAGATTTACAAATTGTCATTAAACTCTGACACCGCAAAAAACAGATGTTATGATGATCGAGTGTTACTCAGAAACATTGCTTGAAAGCATTAAGAGGAAAAAGAATGATATAAGACCAATAAAAGTTCTGCTGGCAGCTTTAACAATATTTCATTTAGGATACTATTTACTCTCTGTCATCACATTTCTGACCAATCCAATGCCAACCTATAGATCTTGGATACTTGACAGTCGACAGTTGTTTGGGATATTTGGGAATTGTTTGATAAGTCACGACAATTTCTCTTTCTCTATCATTTGTATTTTACAATAACGTATTGTCATTCTTACAGTCTTAAAGACACTCGTCCTTTGCAAACTTTATGTTGAATCTGGGAAATGATAGACTCAAAAAGGAAGTGTAGACAATGTTTTGATCAACTCACGACAATCAAATTTCTCTCTCCATCCCTTGGGATCAACACCAAATGTTCTCACGAAGCCAGCAAAAAAAGTTGTGATGGCACATCGCATATTTGTTGACGAGCAAAAGTCTATGACACAGTCCCCCATCCATCCTTTAAAGTCCTGCGGGGGCATCCTTATAACGGAAAATGATAAACTGACTAGTACATACAGAGTGGCCCAATAAAACGACCCCTTTAAGTAATTTTGACAAACTCTCAATTCTTATAATTTAACTGTTATATTATTGGATGGTGTCATTTTGTTAGGAAATGATTTATCTTTAAAATGATATATAATACATGACATAGTTTAACATATATCATATGAATCATTCATCTTTAATAGGTATAATTATCTTTTTTGGCCCACCCTGATTTCTTAGACAATCACAATGTTATTCAATCCATCTTGGGTTGGTGTGCTTGTATAGTACATATTAATCCGGTGATACTACTACTTCACTGCGAATAATACAGGGGAATACAAGTATGTTTGAAATTGAAAAAATCACAATTTCTCTCACAAAAATTGTTTCACCTTTCGAGAATGTCTTCAGAGCCATGTTTTGTCCAGTGGTTGATATGGCGTATTACAATTTTTCAAGTCGGAAAGATTTGAAAAAAAGTATGTATTTAGTAATGTATTTAGTCTCTCTCACGAATAGTATTGTACAAATAGTGACTGCCATTGAGGGAAATAGTGCAAAATATTTTCCTCAAGGGAATATCCTGTCCACTGACTATTCTGTCCTGTTCCCGAGGCTGCAGGCCGAGGGAACAAGTCAGTGGACAGGATATTCCCGAGAGGAAAATTTTTACACTATTTCCCGAAAATGTGGCAGTCACTATTTGTTTTATTATATACCTGATAAGTACTCTGTAAACAAAAACAAAATGAGAAGTCTTTTCATTTCAATATCAAATGTTCACAGGTTCTTATTGGCATTTAAAGGCATTTTACCTTTCAACTCCTATAATCTCAGATTTGGGGGAAGATAAAATGTACTATTGACTGGTCACATGACCTAACTGGTGATTAGTACAATTCATCTTCCCTGAAAGCAGGGATTTAGGACTTTCCAGGGAATTAGTTCATCTATTCCATGTCATGTGACCATGAATAAGCCAATGAGCATCTAGAATACATTTGAGGTATATAATAATGTACAATATACTAAAATTAATTATAATGTCGGGTTTCATGACAGGTACTATTCATATTTACTGACATGAGTTGGCCATAAAATGCCATGCAAACCGTCAGCCGACAGTAGGAAGATACATTCGCGAATGCTACCTAAGACTCTTGGTTGCATTGGTAGAACGAGGTCATTTAGTTTTTTCATCGATAGCTATTCCATTACTTTTCAAAATTGGTCGTTGGATTTAGTAGGGGATTCCCCTTATGGCTGGTGCATGCCGGGACAGGATGTACCACTAAATGAAAGAGTTTGACGGTTGAAATAAGTTAAATATTACACGCAAATATTGCTATCAAAAAACGAAGATTCCATCGTCCTGCCGATAAACCAAGACGATAATGGGTTTGATCAACTCGGAAAAGCATCATTTAGAGTTCAAGAATGTATTGAGGTATGCATTTTAGGTGTACAGAACGATTGATCCAATCCCACGACTATAAGTTGTGGACCTCGATAAAAATGGACCTTGGAATGTTCATTTAGATTTCCCTTTGGTTTTAAGGAGAAAATTGCAAAATCTACGTGTGTATAAGTGAGAAAATACTCAGCAGAATTTCAAAAAATTACTTACTTGTCGATAGCATCTCTAGATATGATTGTTGGTACACTTTTGCAGAATTTTGTTGCAGCGCGTTTCGCCCTTCGCGAACGTGAGCATTTGTCATCCGATTCACTCGGAAAGTCATCACAGCTATAAAAAAGGTTGTTGAGTTTTTTTAACTTTTGCTATATACTTTCCGTATTAAAGTTTTCCAAAGGATATAAGGCAAGTTCGTCTTGTTGTTACTTTATTTTCTTGATCGGTATAAATTCGAAATTCCCAGGTAATTGCCTGCTAAAATTTCAGAAGTTAATAAATGATGGGTTGTTTGTTTTTGAATTTCATCGTTGTAAAACAATGTTTGACACTTGTTTCTGTGATTCGTTGCTAGCCCTAAGTACATAAAAATTCGGTTCTGAACTGTTCTGATCAGGCTACGTATTACATTTATCCAGTCTAAGGGAAGACCAAATAAATATGTTTTACTCACTCTTCGTCTTCAGAGTCAAAAACTTTGTAGCTCAGGCCATCTTCGACGTCGTCACTCACATCACCATTGTAGTTTTGGCAAAGTCCATCAACCTTAGAAACATAAATAACATTCAAAGAAACATAAATAACATTCAAAGGACCCGGTAAAGTATTCAGAATGAATTTAACCACCTATATCTTTGGCCATAAGTTCTTTTTCACGATAAATACGACATTTCTCATCAAAATATACTATTTAAATTATCCTATATGAGATTAATGATATCATAATACTCTCGTTTTACGCCTGTAGTTTTCTCTCGTTTTTATCCCTCAAAAGGATGTTGAAAGCTACCCCGTGTAGCCTATAGCGATGGGTACATGTTTATGAGCGCGACGATATGAGACAAGGACGTATGAAGACTAGAAATTGCACTAAATTGCGATTAACGTGACAGCAGCACTGTTAAAGACTCTATCTATCGCAACTTAGACTGTAACATGCATACATACATATATGTGACATGTATATCTGATTGTATATAACAAAATGTCAACACTTTTTTGTTGCAACATAAAACTAACGTCTGCCATCCATTGGGTTCCAAGTGTAACCGTCACATCTCCATAACCTGGGAAATTCGCGGGTGGAGTTGTCCATCGTACCATTTCAAACTCAACCCGCAAGCCAAGTACACCACTTTCGAATGTCATCACATCTCCCACCTTTTGAATAGTATAGAGTGAGTTGGAGAAAAAGACCCCAACATCTGACAATGCTGATTCATCTGGTCCCACCTGGAAGATTAAATATTATCATAATCATCAGATTATTATTATTGAATAAGTGGTGATAATATGAATCTAAATCAATGTTTTGCGTCAATGGTTTATCCATTATATTAGTAGTGAGACGGAAAATATCCATTCATGCATTGTCTTGTCAAAACTCAGACACAAGAACATAGAATAATTTGAAGAATCGGCTTTTTTTTCTTTTCTTTTTTTTTCTTTTTTTTTCATCAAATTTAAAATGTATACATATAAGTGAAAAATTATACAAGTCACTCCATTACCCATTCATTCACATTCTCCACTCATACCATCATACTGTTAAAATCCATTTTCATTTTTAAACAATAATCTAATCGGCTTTACAAATTAAGAATATTGCAACTGAATGTTTATATTATTGTATAATATAAACCAGAACCGAATAATTCACAAACATTAATTTGGATTGACATCAAAATTGATCATTTGTCCATGGTTTGACGATGTGCTTCTTTTTCACAAAAATATCCACATGAGGTACTCTACTTTAACAAAAATTAACACCTAACATTCATCATTGGTTAAAATGAAAACTAAACCAGGGAGCTTTGAAGGATAGAATACAAGTAAGAATGTGATATTCTTACACGTTGCTATATACCTGAATCTGTTCTAAACTTGGGCCGAGAAGTCTTATGGTTTGTTCTCCATCCTCTGCGAGTGGCATATGAAGCTCTACGTATTTTGTCGCAGAAGTATCAGAAGCAAATGGCCACTGGCGATTCTTCACCAAAATCTACAACAGAATTAGACTTTTAAGTAAACTACACGAAAACATTTGTAAAGTGTGAGGCAAAAGACGCCATTTTTTTTAAATGCCACACCTTTGTATTAGTCCACTTATATGGTACATTCTCAATGAATTTACAGTTGTCCCAAATAACAAAAATGATAACAACAATTCAAGCTTAGATTTGTCCTAAAAGGGTGCTCAATCGTGTTCCTCGTATAGATTGCTCTTGATATAATTTATGGCACTTGATAAGCTAAAATGTTTTGATGCCAATGTCAAAATGAGACGGTGGTAAAATATTTTATACAAGTAAAAGTGTACAGATCATAATACACGAGATATTTTTTCTTTAACCTTCATTTGGTGTGCAAAGAATGATTTGGGATTAAAGGTTAAAATTTTAACTCAAAAAGACAGGTATGGCCTTTCAAGAATAAAGTTGCCTTTTTCCCCTCGTATGTACAATTACACAAAATACGACATCCTTTTGGTTTAAGTTAGATACGCATGATGACAGTTTTCATGGACTTTTACTCATAAGGAAGTTCAAAATTCATAGTTAGTTCAAAAACGAAATTTCATGATTAGCTGGAATTGAATTGCTTTTCCGCAATAATTTTGCGAAACTACATGTACCTTAAATATTCTTCTTGGGGAAAAATTTAAATGAAGTCATGATTCCGGCGTTTTTTTAAAGGAGATGAAGTGAATTGGTTATCTTGTCCTATTTTAATACAAACAAATAATTACAGCAATCTGAATGTGTGTAATGACCTCATTTATATTCAAAACTAATAAAACATGAATATAATCACAAATTACCTTGAAAAATCCAATTGTATCCTCAACCAATGTGTATTTACAAACGCCTTGGAAATGATAATACAACCCATCGAATGAGTGATAATGAACCTCACCATGCCCTCTGCATTGCTTTGGCGGTAGACCTTTAAGAAATATGTGGTTTGACGGTTGTAAAGCTTTATTGCTTGTTTATACCTCTCACAAATATCAAACTATCCCCTACATCTACGTACAATAAGGCATTGACATGCAAAATGTCACCGGCCAATCATTTGTTACAGACGCCGAGCGCCGACCACCGAACACCAACCGCCGAACAACGTCCACAACATCGTTGAAGGCTATCACAATATGCGGTGACATAATAATAAGTATATTTCGTTATTTCTATTATCAAGAAAAAGACAAAATATATTTCAAATCTACCACAAGATCTTCTGCAAGAACACTTTATCTTTGTATATTCGACACTTCGTCCGATACAGTCTCTCCCTCCTCTTCCAGCGGGAATCTTGTTTCGGTATCTCAGACAATATTTCTCGCATGTTCTACCATCGTATTTATTGCAGCAGGTGCATTTTACATAGGGGCTCCATGGTTGCCAAAAGCAGTTTCTTGGTCTCCTTTGTCCCTCGGCTAATGGGAGACAAACTAAACGAAAAATTCTATTGATTTGTATTGATTTATTGAAATATGTAAGAATAACATAATATAATACACAAAAATAGTATAATTCCTACCATGATACTATTACTTCCTTTGAATAACACTAGGAAACACGGTTAGTATTGAAGAAATCACTGCTAAAAGATCACCTCGTTGTTCCCGCATTGGAATCGCGCCAAAAAAGCAATTGCAATTTAATGTCTTTTCGGCAATGAATATTCAAGCTTTATTGCGACAGAAACAAAATCAAAACCCTGAGCCAAAACGGTATCGAAAAGTTGTCGATTTTAGATATACAAGACATTCTGAACTAGAACGTTGCTTGATAAAAGGCAGGTAACTGCTTCCTCAAAGTCAACCGAAAAATAACCTTTTTTGACTAACAACTGTGAAAATTATAATATCCAATGGAAAGAAATCAGAGATCTAAAATGTGAGTACATTGTTTGCTTGATTGATTGCATTATCACTATTATCATTGTATACTTACTGACTACGGCCAACGCAAAGAATGCGAGCTGCATCGTCGTTGCCTCAATGAGAAACGTTTTTGCTCGTGATGCATACATGTCAGCATTTATATACTATTGTCCATGTTACATGCAAAGGCCAGGGCAAAAATTATAAAAGCAAAAATAGAAATGTTTGAAAGCATCAATGTTGTTTTGTTTAGATAACAGACTATAAAATTGTAAAAATTGATGATATCAACAGTTTATGATGGTATAACTATGATTTCTGTCACGATTGCACCAGTTGAGCTGCATGGAGAGATGTCATTGGCACGTTGAATGAGAAAAAGGGGCCTGGGGAGAACGTAATTATTGGAAAATCCCAAACAGAAGGACTCAAAGCGACGATAAAACGGAACGAGACTATCTACCGATGTTCCATATTCAGAATGTTGATTTCTCTTGCAAAAGCTGAATATCTGTGGTTCCTACAGCTATCGACCGTGGCCCTTTAAAGACAAGCGTACACGAAACATGTACACATTTGCCACACTTAATATAAGTTACACGCTGCAGATACATTGATTCAAACATTGATAAAAACTTCCTGTCGAAGTGCACGTTCTCAACAAAGTGATCACTGAACTAGTGCGTGTATCATAGATGCAGTTTATAACAGCGAATCATCATTAGTTTAATGGAATCTAACTTTTTGGGGTTTCCCGTCTTGTTCATATCCACATTATAAGGTTGGTTAAACTTAACATCACATTTAATTCTGTTCAAATGAAATGAGAACAAAATTTGATCCGTTTGGCTCTAAACACCAGATAAAAGAACAAAGAAATTTCTTCAAAATTTAATTTCAAAATCGTCATAATATATTTATGACTTATTCATGAGTAGTTTCTTCCTTGTACATGGTCAACATAATACGGACACTTTGTAACTCCAGCTAGGAGTTAGATTAATTTGAAAATCTTCATAAAAGCATGTATGACCTTTACCTCTTACCTATAAGATTTCCATAACTGGAAACATTTCAATACCCGAAAACATTATTTCACCTGTGTAAAAAAATATGGTGTACCGTGGAATGTGGTCCTAAGTTTGTATCGATACCTATACCCTGTCCAAACTGTGTCTTAACGAATACGCCGGATAAAGTATATTACGCAAAAGAAAGTATTGTCCAGCGTGAAAATTTGTTTGTTCGACACCCATGCCCAAAATGTACAAAACGTTCAAAATTGATCAGCTATCTGTGTAGATGTTTGGGAACACGGAAATCAATCCTGGGACAATATTAATTTTTCTATCGCACTCTAGGTCTATGTTCTACACCGCATGTATTCGGTGACCTTGTTGGGTAATCCTGATCTGACAGATTGGGCCGAGGTAGGTGTAAATATAAACTTGGACGATATTTAAGAGAACATGTTTTTAAAAGAACAAGTACTTAAACGTGTGATATTATGATCCCCAAAGTCAATTTTTCCAGCGACCTAAGTACAATTATTTTCCTACTAGTACCACTATAATTAATTCTATGTCCACATACAAGTTATCCCAAAAATGTAGAATCTTACTAGCTTACCTATTAATTGGAAATTCTCAAATATTCAAAACATATGCTTACATGATTTTTTGTTAAAATAATAGTGTAATTCATTCATGCTAACATGATAACTGTAGCGATACATGGTATAATGGACCTTTTTGTATTTTATTACATATAGATGGCAGGAGGAGGGTGATATTACGCACTATACCAGTATATGCAGGCTCGTCCCAAAATTGAATTTTTCGGTTTTAATATCACCTGTTAAAGATGTTGATTTAAGAGCAAAAAAGGCTCCAAAACTTAATGAAATATGTAGTTTGGATGTTCATTTATGTCTGTGGATTATATTTTATACCACAAACACTTTATAAATACCTGAAAATTGCAATAAAAGTGCCCAAAAATTGTTGTTTCGAAATTCCCCATTTTTCCTGTATCGCGCTAGTCACGTGACCATAACGCGTAGCAGTCAATGTACAGATATTACAGTACATATAATATGTTCAATATGCCAAACATCAGCCATTCTGATTCCCGGGTTCTGGGAAATGACTATATAAATCGGCGAGAGGGTGTAATTTGAATGAAGACAATTTAAGGAGGGGGAATGTGTGCAAGTATGGCAGTAAGAGAGCAGATATGGGGACTTTAACAAGAACTATGACGGAGAATCAACTAAAAATGTGAGTTCTGGAATGAAGACCCGTTGCCATTGACTGAAGATTCCAGCGATCCTATTATCATACTTAGTTTGAATCTAGACGCGGAAAACAGATTATGAAAACAGGTTTTCTGCAAAGTTATCAAATTTAGAAGATATGGATCTTGTTTTTGAGTGGCTTAACAAGCATTTAGATACCAGACTTGGCGCTATCTCTTGTCAAATACATGCACTGGACTTGCAGTAAATTGGCCATTGCAAATTGCAAAATCAGATCGTCAAATTAATCGCTTCGTTTTTAAACCTACGCTTCATATCTTCTTCCAAAACTTTAGGATTCGATAGAGATAAGTTATAACTTGTACAGAAAAAAATGGCAGATCCTACCTTAATTTAGAATCGCTGATTTCTCTGGACAAATTCCGAGAAGAAATTGTTCAACATCGCGATCACTCCAGACAACATGTCGCGTGCGTGTCACTCTGAACTCACGTGATAAAATACGGCATCTTGATTGGTTACTACTCGTGTTGTCATGACGTGAAAGCAGTAGTAAACACTGAATATGTTAATGAACTGCCATATATGGAACAATTGTCTTTCTGATTGGTTAACTTTACACGCCTCCTAAATGAATATAGTAGTCGTAGTAAATGATTCATTGATAACTCTGAAAGTGGGCGTGACCAGCTTCATTTTGACACCAAATTCAAGATGTTTCAAATCAAAATGGCCTCGCAAGACGAGGGTGAAATATCAGTAATTTGATACTGATATGGTCTACGATAGATCAAAATTGACTGCCCCGCGTCACATGTCACGTGAGCCTATATTTGTTGAAAAATGAAAGAGATAGTGACACTTTTTAATCTTAAGTTTATACCAATATTACAAACACATATCTATTTTTTTCATTATATATTTATTTCTTCATAATACATACATTTGTTTTATACTACATTGATTTATTTTTGCAAAACCTTTGCTATTAGATCTTTAAAGTATCACTACTGTTATCATTCTGTAGACCTGGTATGTAAAGAAGTTATTCACCAGGAGAGATTTGGTATGGGTAATATCACAAGGATGATATGAATATTTCCCGAGGGGAACGCATTGAAAATTATTCATATCATCCCGACAAGTGAATTTTGAAAGAACGAAAAATGTTAAAAAATGAAAATTAAAATTTTTTTGAAGAAATGAAATAAAATGTAATATTGTAATATATTATACGTAATATTAATTTATTATTCTATTGATTACCAGTTTAATGGTAATAAACGTATAACACATTTACATCGAAATGCATGAAGCGCAGTTGTCAATGGTCACATCATATCGTCCTCTTGTGCATTGTTTTTATCAGATTCAAATTACTGAATTTAGTTTGGCATAGAACCGAGAGTGCAAAATGTCCAACAGATACGAATGTCCCAACTGGTAATCGAATGTTCGTTGAGCCCGAAATATTTTTTCTATTTCGGTTTTACTGAAAATGAACCTTTAAGGGGCCCCTTTTCAAAAGGCAATCCAGTTTCTTTTAAATATATGTGCCTTAGCTTTCGGAAAATTGGCCTAAATTATTGAAAAGATGGTTCGACATCCTATATTTTATATTTTAAAAACCAATGATTCGAAATCATGGTATAATGGACCTTTTTGTATTTTATTACATATAGATGGCAGGAGGAGGGACATTTTCAACTGAGACATCTCACACTTCGAAGCCGGGATTCTCATATATGAACTTTTTTCTTTTCGTTCATTGTCCGAGAAGGAGACAAGATCTTCCTTGGTTTCTCTGGGATGGGAAGTTTGTAATTTGGGTCAACGTTTCCCCGACGCCTCTTCCCGAAGCAAGCCTGGATAATCTCAGACGCTGTAAATATCGTCAAGTTTTGATCCCTCTTTGTTCCGATCAACGGGTTCACTTCAACCAGATCTATATGATGGAGCAACCCTGAAAATATCCGTCAATCATATGAATTTCGTTTTTAAATGTATAAAGCTGCCTTCATTATAAAACATGAAAACCAAATTCTAAGTTAGACAAGTCACTTGAAAATATGAAGTTCATTATAAATGGATTAATTGATTAAAGACTTTTATTAGTACTTTTAAATAACACTTAAATACTTTGAAAGTAGCTTTTTACTTTTACTTACTGAAAATTATTATTTAGCTAACATAAGGCAAAGACTACAAAGAGAATACTCCTATATGAAAATCTACAGGGGCCTTCATGATTATGATTTTCAGATGACTACGGGGGCCTATATGTTACAAAGTCGGGGGCCTGTATTAAATGAAGGCCAATGCATCTACGGTGGCCTATACTTGCTTACCTGTCTGTGCAAGTTCCTCGGCAATATACATCCCCTCCCTAATAGTAAGTCCTCCTGGAACTATGACAAAGACACATAATTATCAGTTGCTAAAATACTTTTTTTCCACCACATCATCAAATCAGGTTTACCAAACATATAGGCTGCACCTTGATATTAACTATACGATACATGCTTCAAGTTTTTTTATAGACAATAAGTAATTGAATTGTGTAGACTTTAAGAACACAGTCATATTTTCAAACCACCGTGTTGGTATACTCTGACCGGATAATACGAAAATTCCCCGAGGTGCACATTTTAAATTGTTTACCTGGTGTTCCAGTGCTGGGTGAGATAGCAGGGTCCAATGAGTCGATGTCATAACTGAGATGCATTGGCCTGTCCATACTGGAATGAACAAGTCAAGACAATAAGATACAAGACAAGTCCAATGTAAACAACTTATGGCGAGAATATTCAAGTCAAGTCAACAATTGCATTGACAATTCCAAACGATAATGATAAGTCAAGAATATAAAATTCAAGTCAAGAAGATGTAAGTCAAGAAAAAACACATCAAGATGAGAATATACAAGTCAAGAGAAGAATAAACAAGTCAAGAAAGAATAAACAAGTCAAGATAAAATAAAAGAAGTGAGACAAGATTAAAAAGCATGAATATACTGGTCACTCGTATATACACACTCGTGGTATACACATTCGTCACTCGTGGCACAAGTCACTTGTGGTATACACACATGTCAAGAAGATATTAATCAGGTCAATAATGTACAAATTATTTTTAACATGCCAAAACAAGAATAAACAAGTCAAACCAAGAATAAAGTCAATCAAAGTCGAGATTAAACAAGTCAGGAATATACAAGTTATACATATAGAGGTCGGATCGTCATGTAAAAGTATAAATCATTTGCGGTTCGAATTCATGACTCATATGCTTAGGAACAAGCTCTATAGAAAGATGGAACTTTGTGGTTTACAAATGGACAAACAACCGCTGTCACCTTTCTTTGAATCTAATGACTAATCACTACGCGGTTAATATTCTTACTTTGGGTTAACGGCTTCAATAGACTTCTTTAGGACGTACTCTATTCCAAAGTGGTCAATCTCGTGTGTCGTGTAACAGCTTATACCAAGCTTCTCAATAATGTGTCTGCAAAATGAAATAATGATGGCAAACATTTTACAGCTTTTTCAACTGAGTTAATTACTTGAGCCAAATACAGAACGTATATATTGTACGAGAAAGCCCCTATTTCATCAGGAGACAAAAAACGTTGTATTAAATGCTTAATGTATCACAAGATAGCACCACATCCCCCTTCCCCCATTTGATATCTATCCTGAGTTCATCCATCGAATGGAAAAACTGCACGCTTATGACGTCACATACCTCTCGCCTGGATCCAAATCCCTCAGACCAATGTAAGCGATGTCTTTGGCAGAAATACTGGAAAAGAGTGTATTTCATTTAAAAACGTCAATAAGTGTAAGGACAATAACAGATGGTCCATGTCGCACATGAGGTCAATGATATTTAACAAAGAAAGTCCATGTGAAAAGAGGTCAAAGTCATAAAAAGGTGAAGGTCGTCACAGAGAAGATCAATGAATGGAGGTCAATGTTAATTGGCAAAAGAGAAAATCTTTGTTATGATATTGATAAGAAAGTGCATGTTTCAAAGGTCTAATCCACACGAGAGGACAATCTCATATGAAACTTCATTTTAACGTTCAAATGTTTATTCAGTTCATTTTTTTCCCTTTTAATACCGCTTAAATGCTTACCAAGGTTGGATCCAGTCAAAATCTACAATGTCCGGAATGTATTCTTGTAGCTCATGTACAACGAATGATAGACACATGCCGTGTACGTTCCCAGTCGCTGACGTTAGAGGGGTATTAATGTCTGCGTGCGCATCGACCCATATAAGGCATACATTTTCCTCTGCCTGACAGTGCCCGTGCACAGTACCTATTGAGAGACTATGATCGCCACCTATCGTCAGCCCACAATGTCCAGCTGATATGATATCTTTGACTGCTTCTGAGACCTGGAAAAGTGAAAAAAAGTTTCTAAAAAGCCTATGGTGTACGTCCTGGTAACTCTTAAATAATTACGAGTGAACGGTTCCAGTCTACCCCCATAAATGTGGGGTTGATTTGGCGTTTTTTCTTATATTTTATCATTCTTGTGCCAGATCACTAAAATATTAAAAAATAAGAAAAAACGCCAATTCGAGCCCACATTTATTGGGGTATTCCAGTCTAGATGTTCAAATAAATTAGCTGGGGTACTTTAACCGGTGGTTCAGTTTTACGTTCTAGGTCGTTTTTAACTTTTGCATACAAGAAAAAACACGATAACGAAAGAAAGAGGCATACTCCGAAAATACACGTACTTTCCTTCGACAATGCATTCACCCAGTTTACGCTGATTGAGGTATAGCCCCCACGCCTGAGTACTGAAGCCCTTTTCCCAAAGCTCTAAGAAGAGTCAAAACCAGCATATGAGTGGATGACCCCTTAATCCTCACCTGATATGCTCCTTGGCCAACGCTGCGTGGGTTCTTAACTATATCCGGAGGGTCATGAAAGATGTGATCAAACTTCAGGTCGCCGTAATCGTGAACATTAAAACCTGAAATATAGTTATTGAAATGTAGTTAAAACTAGGCCCTTGTATCACTACATGTACTAAGCTTGGTCAAATCTGGGTCACATGACACAACGGAGCAGGCGGTATTCACCTGTTGTATGCATGTCATAAGAGACGCTCAATCTATATGTCGGTTTCAATTACATTCGGCTCTGGGGCTATCAAGTACCAACATTGTAAAATATTCGTTACAAACACTGGCTAATGCGCTTTACATACATAGGCTCACATACCAAAAAATTAATTTCAATTTCTATTTTCATTAACCAAATTTTATAAATGACGTTCTGTATTGACGTTGTGTAGTAGCCCTTTTGGTTTTGTGTTCTAGAAAAACACGACGCTTTAAAAAAGACGACTAGCTGAATGTTCGATTCGTGTCAGTTTGATTAATTATCTTATTTTTGTTGTTCATTCAGTATCGGTTATATCAATACTTTGTTAATGAACTTTGAAAAGAAATTTTTAGTCAAAATCTAGACCATAATCCACATAGTTTTCAGCAAAGCCCGAAAAAGCATAACCTCTACGTCAGTTTCTCAGTGTAAATGATATAGACGTATTGAGCCGATTGGGTTGATTGGTGGTTGCATGCGTAAGACTGGGATGTCACGAAGAGTGCAGCAGGGGTTGAGCCCCTTCTCGACGATTCGATTGGTTAGAAACAATAATGTATTAAGAGAAATGAGTACTGATAAATTACAAGAGAACGCAGAAACAAACAACTTCAAGGGCAAAAGGGGAATGTCTCAAAACAACAATTTGTCATAATTACTACAAGTAAATAACAAAAATGCCTGATACTTTAAGGTGAAGGAGAAGTAAAGCAAAGGTACAAAAAATGGCAGCCGTATATTTTGGGATGAAGACACATGGTTTCAAAATCTGTTTACCTTGTATATGAATTGTATGTCTTGACGAAAGAAACGTGTCAAAGTTAACATCACTTTGACTATGCAGCTCCCATTCATAGTTATGAAAAGTGCATTGAATGTGATGTTTTCTTTGACGTGTCTCTTTAGTCAGGAAATGCAATATAAGGAAAACATTAACAAAATCTTGTGACTTTATCAAAAAAAAATATGGCTTTCATTTTTTGTACTTTTAATTATACTTTTATGTCACCTTAAGGCAAAATTTTAAAATTGAACTTCAATAATGAAATTTGATTAGTTTAAATTGATCATCATGGTTAGTCTTTTCAAAAATTAACCAGTCAAAATGATATTTTTCATATTTACATTTTGGTATCATCCCGCTGCATCCCGGGACATAGTGACCGTTTGATCGAAAGCGTTTGCTCTGAAACTTGTTTACAACTTCTTTAATTAATTAACCATTGCCCATGGGATAAAGGTTTGCTCGATGTGTCAGCAAAAAGACATGCCATGACTGGACTGGACGGGTCCATATTCCAAAGTGACAAAGTGTGCATCCCGATATTCTCACCCCCCCCCCCCCCCCCGACACACAACACATTCAGTTAAAGGGATATCGTTAGAAGGCAATTGCAACTTCTCATCGATCCTAGTATTAGTGTAACCGTACTTTTAAATATACCCCAACTTCTTTTCATCAGTGCTTACCCATGTACCCCGAAGTGTACAAACCCATGTACCCAAATTTATAATCATCCAAAAGGCAGCTGTACTACATATTATGTACCCCAAAGTGTACTAACCCATGTACCCCAACTTTTAATTGCGGATTCAAGTATCTCTTTAGATAAGCGCAGTTGTACTCACCCGTGTACCCTTACTTCCCATCATCCATAATGCATTAAGTACTTACCCATGTACCCAAACTTTAATCATCGGAATATCTGCAGTTGTACTTACCCATGTACCCCAACTTCTGGACGATCCCGGCATCTCTTAGGGCAGCTGGACCGTGTTCCACTCCTCCTCGGGACTAGAATAAAACAAGAAGCCTATGAATCTAGTTTAGCAAATCTAAACATACTCGCAGATTCTATCCTGGCCCCTACAGGTCTACAGTGAGTTTGTACCCGGGTTTGTACGCGGTATCATCAATCGACGAGGATCCTCACTTGCATCTGCTTAATTATGCATAATCGTAAAAGGCTTATGAAAGACGAGGGATGATATGGGAATCAGTTTTTCAAAATAAATCATCTTCTATATAAACAATGTTTTGCTCTCAACATTTCATATTTTATGCCAACATGTACTAACTTCAACAGATGGACTTTATTTCAGGGAATTTAGGAATCCTTTGAATCTAAGGTTTACCTAGCAAAAACTGGAAGAGGTGGTCGTCTCTTTTTCATTATTAATGAATTTGGACATTTCTGCATCTTTAATCTTCAATAAGACTTCCACGTTCAGTTAGATTTCTCAATTATTTTCAGAAAATAAACTTGGAATATTAACGGTAACATCACTGTTGTCTTTGTTTCCACTTTAACGCCACCCCTCTCCCCCTCCTATTAACAACAGATTGTGGTTTACACCATAACACCTGTTGAAACTAATCAATTGTACAATATGGGAAATAAAGGAAATTTTAATTAATCGCATTTATGCTGGTTGACTATAACTCTCTTTCTAAGTAAACCTAAAATACTTTTGATTCATAATACGCACGACGCAACTAGCAGCGACTATAAGCCATTATTGTAAAGCCTGAAACTCGTTCCTTTGGTATTGAATATATTGTCTTTGATAGGTGCCAATATTTTTATATTGTGTTTCAAGATCCTGAACACCCCCCCCCCCAAATCAAAATATGTCCAGTAAAAGAAAATATTATCTGTGTGTCCAATATAAGAAAAGATGCATCACTTCTTGTGATTTTATCACAGTCTACTGTTAGAAGCACATTTTCAAATAAAAGTAAATGTTCAAAGTTTATAAACACATTTTGAAACCACCGTTTTAGATATGATTTTACATGTAGATTTCAAATATGATATCACTTTGGCTGAATTTTTAATAACAAATCAAGATTATTTCTACTCGAATAAAGTCTATTGTGGTGTTATTTATGTACAGGAATAGGATGAGAATTTTGGCCTCTTACAAACAAATAAAAAACAAACACCTCCTGCTATAATCTGATGATTGAGTTTTGATGTATATATAGTACTATGATAGAAATCCCATATCTTGAGCTATAATTAGTTTGTGAACATCTCTTCGTTTGTCACTATCAAAGAAGCCACAATACAACTGACTGTCGAGTCGTTTATCATCCATCCCATTTAGCTGTCACTGGGACCTGGCACATCTTGGATATTTATAGCATGTTTATAGTTAATATCCAGTTTCGTGAGTCAAAGTATGTTTTTACCTTGATATTTTACTTGACACGGGTATGAGCACTTGGCATTTAATCGGGAGGTTGTGGGTTCGATTCCCATCAAGGTGGAATGACTTTTTCACATCAGCCCTTAGCATAGGATTTGACCCTATATTTTCAGTTTAACTATGGGCATAATATATAATTGAGAGCCCATGGGTTAACGTATCAAAGATTCTTTTTCACATCAGCCCTTAGCATAGGATTTGACCCTATATTTTCAGTTTAACTATGGGCATAATATATATATTGAGAGCCCATGGGTTAACGTATCAAAGATACCCCCCCCCCCCTTGGTGACAATACCAGAGGCTAACAAGATGGAAAGTGCATGTTTCGGTGTTAACAGTTTCTTTCTCTCTATTAATTTTGCCAAACTATCAATCATTTAGATTTCTTCTGAATAATATGAAAATGCTTATGCTTAAACAAAACCTACCTGTCCAGCAGCGAATGGAACTCCGAGAAACCCTATGTCTTTTGAGCTGTATTTAGTTTGTAAACATCTCTTTGTTTGTTTATCGAAAGTATTTTTCAAATGTTTGCTGAATAAATTGACGCATTTTTTAGTGGCCATTTTTCCAATCCAGCAGAGTTTTAACTTTATCCAATTGTTAATGTTCGGGCCATTCTAAATGTCTAAGCGTATTATATATAGCATGAACTCTGTTAAGTACAGAGATGAGATTATATATTATCCGAGAGATAAACAGCTGATTTAACACGACGAAGTGTCAACGTATAACATGGATTTGCTCCCCGCTGCGCTCATTCGAAATCGAGGCTGACTTCTGGGTATTGTAAGTTAAAAATATGCCGACGTATTTTTCTATGGATTTTTTCATGGCAGCCCGAAAATGAAATCGATATTTGCTTCAGCTTTCAAAATGAGATCGTTTTAAGGGACGTTTCGTCGACCCCTGACCGTTTTGGTCTGAGCCAAGTAAAATTGAAAATTGGCCAACTATGTGTTTTTCTAGTGTTCAGTGGCGGATTCAGGTTAGGGGGGGGGGACTTTTGTCTGACCATTCCATAAAATAGTAAAGTCGAAGGTGCATATTGTCTCAGTTAATCTCATATTTTTAAGTGACGTCTCGCCCTCAGTTGTTAGAAGACCAATGCTTCATTCTGACAAATTAAACAGTGGTGGATCCGGGGAGGGGCATGCTAGTGGGCCCAGGAAAAGAAATTTAGTTTTTGGGCCCAAAAATTTTGTAGGGCCTCAATAAATTGGGCCTTTTGGGCATAATTTGGCCTTTTAGGCCTTTATTGGGCCAATTTATCGAAAAATGGGCATTCATTTTTCAAAATACTTAATATTTATCATATTCACACAATCCAAACTGTTTCATTCATGAAAAAAGTTATAAGCAAATCTGTACAGTTCCCTTCAAAATTATACGATCACTATTTCAAAACTAGAGAAAACATACATCAACGTATAACTCGATTTGGTCATAACTTAGATATTCCTAAACATAGAACCAGAATTGGTGAAAATTCTATTAAGGTCCATGGTTCATATATATGGAATTCCCTCAATGAAGATATTAGAAATAAACCATTAAATTCACTCATATCTCGTTTGAAAATTGACCTCCTGAGTACAGAGTAACCAAAACATTTATTTCATTTCTTTATTGTCTCATATTATTGTATTTGTATATTGTATTTATATTATATTATTGTATTGACCTATGTACCACTTTAAATGTTCACAGTTTATCATGTTTATTGTAAATTTAATTATGGGCAGTCATACACCCCCTGGGGTGTCATAGCCTGTATAATGTTGTAATTTTTGTAATGAAAACTGAAATAAATTATTTTGAAATTGAATTGAATTGAATTGAAAACGTGGGCCCAATTTTGGGGGGGGGGGGTGTATAGAGGGTCTTGGAAATGCATATACAATATTTTTCAGCTCTCTTATACCATATACAATATTTTTTCACCATATACAATATTTTTCACAGCTCTTATACCATATACGATATTTTAGGTGAAATACAATATACGATAATTTTGAAACTGCTTTTGATTAAAGTTTGGATATTTATAAGGAAATAATATTATATTAGGAGAGAATCCATGTACTAAAGTAAATGTATTATTATAAGGCAACTATAGACTCCACATAAATACCGCAATGATTTCATTTATTTCATTATGAATTAGACACCATTCGGGTACATCAGCATCAGAAAAGCTGTGACCACATTTTATTTTCAGGTAAACAAGTTGATTTAAAACACATTTATGATATAAGATTCATGACTTCTCTTTAGTGATTTAGCTACCTACTTTGACCAAAAAAAACTAACTATGACATTGCTGCATTGCTAAAGCTATTAGCCCATTACCTGTAAAAGTACCATAAATATATTCAAAATTAGCACAAAACCTGCATCATTGGAATGGGTGGAACCCAGTGCTCCTCTTTCTTATGACCTATACTTTCCCATGACTTATTTAAATGTCCTTCATAGTGAGCCAGGGAAAAAAATTCTTGAAACATAATTGATGCAAAATTGAGAATGTTGAATAAAAGATTCATCATGTGTTCTATGAAAATAAAGTTTGCTGAGGAAAATATTTATCAGATAGATAATGAAGATTCACAATGCACAATAATTTTGTAAAGCAGTTACCTGGAAAATATTAAGTAAGTATTTAAAACAGTTTCAGAAATAAAGGACTTCACAAACTTCCATGTAGATAATTCATTTTTGATTGGACTCGAGTCTGGAAACTAGAGTTTGAAATAAAGGCAAGATGAGACTTGATTGTTTAAACATTTGAAACATGAGACACTTCGGGGTTTCAGATAAGGCAGCCTCAAAGACAGTATAAGTTAAACAAAGGTGTGTCAAAATAAAGCAAATTTCCATGAAGGTCAAACCACATGTTTCACAAATGATTTCAAGGCAAAGATGTATTGATGAGAATGAAAACTACTCTATGTAACTAGAAATAACTTTCTTTTAAAGGACCACGGACGGTATCGCAACAGATTTCAGTCATATATTGGATTTTGGCTATTTTCTGAGGATTTGAACAGGTGCATATGTTAGGCCAATGCATTAACTCCAGGACAAGCAGTCATAGAGATTATAAAATAATTTGGACTTTAAGACAGGGAAGGTGCAAACACCCCATCAACATGTTTTTCTGTAATGTTGTCCTGATTTCCAGCCCTTTCCACACCTGTTTTTCAATGTTTGTTGCATCTATCACTCTGTTGCGTTTTGAGACATGGTTAAGATCTTTAAATGAAAATATGATTCATGCAGGGGTTTTAAAGATATCAATTTTGGATGACCAAAATTAAGCTGAAAACAATGGATCACATGAGTTTTCCCTATGGGAAAATAACATGGGAAATACATGTACTGTTTTCCACTTTATCCCAAATAAATCATATTTTAGAGGTTAACTGTGTCTCAAAGTGCAACATATTGGTGCATCAAACATTGAAAAAACATATGTGGAAAGGGCTGAAAATAAGGACAACATTTCAGAAAAACCTTCCCTGTCTAAAAGTTCAAATTATTTTATTACCTCTATGAGTGCTTGATCTGGAGTTAATGCATTGGCCTAACATATGCACCTGTTCAAATCCCCAATAAATAGCCGAAATCCAACACATGACAGTTTGAAGACCAAATAAACAGCTTTTGCTATATTATGCTATATTAGCATTGTGATGCTTGTATTAAAACATGCGCTGTATGAACACTTTATACTCAAATATTTTCATGATTTATCCCACATACCCCGAAACACGAGTAGCCATAGTGACCATATTTTTCATCAAAGTTAAGATGGTCAATGACATTTGGCATTCTCACGCCCGGTGATCTGATGAAATGAACGGAGGGGGAGTAGCTGATTTTCGGTAAATTCAACAAATGTTGAAGATTTATTTTTTCAAGCAAAAGTTTACAATTGAATGGCTACATGAATAGGTGCAGTGCACAGGGAAATATGTTAGGTCTTCTTGGATTTTTTTTGAACTGATGGAGTTCTAAGATAAAAGGTCTATTAAAAAAGGCGCAGCGTCGCCAACGTGCAAATGCCAATGTTTTTGCTATAAATCAAGCAACAATGGTCTGCATGACATGTAATAAATATGTAAGCGACATTTTTATATCACAAAATTCATTGCCGGTTTTTTAAAATAATTTTCTAAATGATAGATAAAAAATAATCGAAAATAATTAAAATTGAACGGAGGGGGGGGGGGAGTGAACGGAGGGGGGGGAGTAAAATGTCTTTAAGGTGGAAGAAATTTCCACAAATTCGTGTACTTGAAAAATGAACTCACTTACTCAGTAACTTGATGTTACAACTCTGAAAAGTGAAAAATGGGGACATATGGATTTATTAGAAGTTTTCATATGTCTTATAGACAAATTATTCCCCCCTCCATTCAATTTTAATAATTTTCGATTACTTTTTATATAACGTATGGTAACATGTTTTACAAAACCCAATAGTTTTGTGATAATTACTTCACTTACAAGTAATTATTTCAGGTCGTGGAGACCCCTGTTGGTTGATTTATAGCAAAAACATTTTGCATGTTGGCGATGCTGCACTTTTTTAATAGATCTTTTATTTTAGAACTCCACAGTTAAAAAAAATCCAAAAAGACCTAACATATTCCCCCGTCCACTGCGTCTATTCATTTAGCCATTCAATTGTAAACTTTCTCTTGAAAAAATAAATCTTCAAAATTTGTTGAATTTTCTACCGAAAATCAGCTAGATCTACTCCCCCCTCCGTTCATTTCTTCTGATCACCGGGCGTGATTCTTATTTGAGACTGTATTTAACACCTCCTGTGAAAATTTGAATGAAAAGGGCACAAAACTCTTAGTTTGAGAGGGATTTTCTCTAAACTAACAGTATCGATTGACCTGGAATTTGAAAACAATTATAGAGACTACTTTTCCATGTTTTTCCAACACGGTTACAGTAAGAGAGTTGGCAGAATGGGGGAACTTTAGGGTGCAATTTCTTCATAATTAGCCTTCTTTAATTCTAGATACCATATACCATATTTTCTAAAATACCATATACCATATTTTTTACACCTCTTATACAATATACAATAAATTTTCAGCCTCTTATACGATATACAATATCTCTATACACCCCCCCCCCCAATTTTTGAGAACGTGATACGGAAGTAAGCAATTGTCAATTTCATCGATTGAACAAACAAGTAAAACTTTATAAATAATTATAATGATTACTGAATCAACACAGTACAGTATATCAACCTTTGCAGAAGTATCCAGAAGTACTCGTTCCCATAAGCCGCGCCCTCAAAACCCGGGTTTGCCGTCATCCGAATCCGCCTTTGCAAAAATGTGAACGGTTCATATTTTTAGAGTCGTTCGTGTTATTTTCGGGAGTTTTCTGGATTTTATTGCTTTTATTAGAAGGGTTCCTCGTTATTGATACTATGTTGTAAGCCAGTTTTGACCCAGATTGACACAACAGAATTGTCGACACTATAGGATGGTAATAGCGCGTAATTGTATTTAAATCAAATATAATCCATATTTAGGCATACAAATATAATATGTTTCACGTTCCTATTCTCTACTGAACTCTACTGGTCAATCCCAGGGGGTTCACTTTGTACAACATTCGGCGCCTAGGCTGAACCCTCGGACTGCCATACCAAAATGTCCAATTTCTATCCCATACCAACCAATATAAAGCCCAAATGCCCAAATATGCCCAATGTCATACCAAATGCCAAAATATAGTACCAATGCAATATCAATACTATGACTGGTCCAAAGTACAATATTGTTCCAATTTTAGAATATTTTGGGCTCGTGTTTTTCCTTTTCATGTCTATTTTCTAAAAATCACAAAAGTGCATACTTTATTCCAGGAAAACTAACGATTTTTACATTAACTTGTATTATTTTTCTATAAGAATGGCCACCATTCTTATTATTTGGGAGAATTTAAACATTTTTCACTCATTTTTGCACTTTGAATCATTAATAACTTCACCGTTTAACATTTTGTGAATCGTTTGGGAGATATTGTATTTGATATTGTAAGGAATAGATCGGTAGGTCAATTATACATCTTGCTTGTAATTTTGTCACCCCCTATAGACCAGATTCTGCCTTTAATTGATTGTTGGTCTAATTCCTGGGTACGATTGCAAATTCGAACAAGTGACTGTACTCACGCCTTCTATTGACTTAGTAAGCAAAGTCAGCATTTTACCCGAGGTATATTAGCGAAGAATACCCCTGGTATTAAATACGTGTAATGTGTGACGTCATTACGGCGGGTCGTAGTAATGGCGGACCATAATGAATATTCGAAACATTTTGGTGACTTTTCATGTTCGAATCGTAATATAGACCTCAGAGCAGGTATCGTCGGTTCCCACGCTCAGGTCAGAAGCTTGATGAAGCAAGATGCAGAGCAGGGGTAATATCGTCGAATACACCCCTTAAGGCTCGGGCACAAAAGCTTTCGAACCCCTCACATGGCGTAGAATAATGGAAATAACGTCACAACGCATGCGCGTAAATCGACATTTCATGCTCCAGAAGAAGTGAGTAGCTCCCATCATATTCTTTCGTATTCGGGGATTCCCCTTTTCCATCCTATATGGTCATACAAACCTTATATGGATCTATCACATGTTATTCAAAATGGCGGACAACGGTCAGTTGGATTCCTATATGGTCATGTAAGCCTTATATGGATCTAGCACGTGAGTACCACGTGATCGAATACGAAGGCTGGACTTTGAGACATCCCCCCCCCCTGTTCATGGTCCAAAGATTTCAATGGAGAGCAGTTACCTTCTTCTAAGGCCACTGTATCGTGGCCTTCCAGTACAGATATATTCCTGCATGAACAAATGGTCATGTCGTAATCATAAAATTTGAAATCATATGTCCGCCATTTTTCCACATCACAATTTGAATTGCGAGTTTTAGTCTTATTACCTCACCAAAAATTCCAAAACACACATAAAGTGATCAGTGTATTAGTTCACATCTTCTGGATCGCTAACTTAGAATTTACAGCCAGTTACTAATGTCAGACGTTAACGACATTTCGTCCAGTTTTCGAACATCGCCATTTTTCTTGGAGCCATTTTGTTTTAATTTTAGACGAAATCCTGATGAAATCATGTCATATCTCATCAAGGATTTGAGCTGGGTCCGGTTTGTTTAATGATTTATTTATCTGGCGATTTTTAAAATATTCAATAAATTTATGACACCACGGCAAGCTTTTTCAAATAGAGTTCACAGTATTCCAGATGCAATCCCCTCTAGCCAAGTATTGGCTAGAGACTCGAGTAAGAGAGCAGTCTTCATCAAAATTAAAAAATCTTTAGCAAATCATTTATTTTCTTAGGATTCAACGGATCCTTGTTACACCCAACGAGGTGTTCATTTTGACATATAAAACAGTAAAATCCATCCACAGATCTTTCGGCCTTTTAATGATTTAATTTTCAGGATATTTTACTAAAATCCCCCACTGACTGCCATTAATATCAGGCCTGTCAACTGTCCCGCAATTTGCGTATTTGTCACGCATTTGCTGAAGAATTTGAAGTCACGCCAGTTTTTTGCGTGACAGAAAATGTCACGCAAATACGCATTTTACAGAAAAAAATTATTTTGTAGAAATTTTTTTAAAATATTTTTACGATACGGTAAAAATACGAACGTCGGAAAAAACCGAACGCAATTTGTTCGGATTTGTCACGCGAATCCCGTATATGTCACGCATGTTAATTGGAAATTTTTGCCCCCCCCCCCCCCCCCCCGTTTACAAGAACGCTAGCGTAGCGAGCACGAAAACTTTGAGGCGATCAAAGTTTGGCAAAGGTGCTCAAACTTTGGCCAAAGGTGTTTAAAAGTTGGCCAAAGGTGTTCAAAATTTGGACAAAAGTGTTCAGATTTGGACTTACATATGTAGGTGTCCAACATTTGTAAGTCACTCATATTAGGTGGTCCCAAGTTGAAAGCCCTGCATTATAAACTTTGAAAAAAACTCAACTGAATCCTCATAATTTTATCATATTTCATAAGTGATCAAAACAACTGTAATCGCTTGGGATTCAAAGGATTCTAAGAGATCAAAGCTAGAACAATATGTTGACAACCCCCGTTTTAACATTTGCCGCATAATCTTTCGGCCTTTTAGGTTATAAAGTCATTATTTCGATTTTCGACCATTAATGAAGTACTTGGATCCGAGATTCATTTTCCCGGGATTCATGACGCTTATATATCCATTATTCTACGCCATGCTCCCTTCGAAGACCTACCTCTGCTCTTCGGTCTACATGTTCAAGGCTAAATTACTAACTTTCTATGACACTGCTTCTTTAAAGAGGCTCGATTATATCAACCAATCAAATTTGAGGTCATAGTTGAAGGGTTCGGTAATTTACGGAGAACCCGAAGACGACGCGCGAACAGTTTCGCGCCAAAATTCATTTCCGCCGTGAAAATAAAGAACCAAAAAATCATGTCAGGTTTTGATGATCCAGGAGTCTTTTTTAGCGATAACTTCGGCACTGAGGATACTGAAGATGGTAACCAAGCAAACCGACAACAAATCAAGAAGCGATTCAAGTCATTTATTCGAGAATTCCATGAAGGAAACTTCAGTTATCGCTATCGGTAAGTGAATGTTTTGATTTTCGTCCATTTAATTTTTAAAACCCAGCAGCTTGAAGCTTTGTTATTTATTGATTCAAATCCTCTCTGACATCAGAACTTACAATTCACTTATCCTTATATAGTGGATTTTTATGTGTTCATCATATAAAGGTCGATCTCAAATTGCATTGAAATATGAATTCCACTCAGGCCTATCTACAATTCTGTAGTCCAACAACATTACCCCCATAGATGTGGGGTTATTTTGAGGTTTTTTGATATTTAGGACATTTGTTTCTCAAAATAACCCCACACCGATTAGTACTTTGATTATTTGGGGATTTGCTAAACAATAGCATACACATAGAATTTGTACTAATATTATTAGAATTTACTCACCTTTTTATGTTTTTCGTATCGACAAGACATTAATCTTCAACATGCTTCCATATAAAGCCTTCTAAGTGTTGTATTCATTCTTGTAATGACGATTTAATACGGATAACAGATATTTCTAAAAAAGTTGGTCCGAACTCCGAATCCCAATAGACCAAATCCCAATAGACTGAATCCCATTCATCCTAATTCTAATCATCCAAATCTCAATCGCCTGAATCCCAATTGTCCAATTCCCATTCTCTGAAACCTAGTGATTCAAAAATTTACAATTGTCGATATGATATTGAAATTTAGATATCATGAAAGAAACATTTTGCATAATATTTTAGCCCAATATATCTAAAACATGCATTCAATTGTGTTGACCAAATCTATGCGAATGACGTTTCTCTCTTTATGTGCAGATATGTGTAGGGGTATGGCAAACATGAAAATGAGCCTTTTGGAAGTTGGATAATTAAAACGCATCTAATTTTGATATTCAAATTAATTGTTGAACGTTCTTAATGTCTGGGTCACATTTGCTCCGATTCATCGGCTGGTGCCTGGCCAATTGAGTATCCTGTTCACAAAAGTATTCAGTTTTGAACAGAATACTCAATCGGCCAGGCGCCGGCCGATGAATCGCAGCAAATGTGACCCAGGCATTAGATAGACTCTATCTGTGTTTAACAAGCAACTGAGTCATGCTTCTATCAAACCCAAATCAGAAATAAAGCCTGACGTTGACTAAACTGAGCAGCAAAGAATACAAAGTGTAAAATGCTAAATGTTATATTTCCAATAAACATGGTTAAACAGCGAATAGATTTTATTCAATAATCACACATCAGTGTGATGTTTTATTCCAATCTCATGTTCACACATTCCTTGCATCTTTATCTTGATTATTAAAATATTTAAGCACCATTAGGTGAGATTTGCACCAATGGGTTTTGGACGATTGGGATTCACTAATGTCAACTCAATTATGAAAAATTGAGCCAAGATCAAGAGTTAATGAAAAAATGCATCTTCCGATGGCTAAATTGTTTCTGCAAAAAATATGAAGAAATTGCATGAGTTCACTTCTTAATCAATTATTATTAACGCATTGTTGCTGTATTTATTAAATAAACAGCTCTATTTATCCTTAATGTCATGGTCACATTTGCTCTGATTTTCAGCACAGGCGCCCAGCCGATCGAGTTTTTTGTTCAAAATTGAATGCAATTTTGAACACAATACTCAATCGTCTGGGCGGCTGAGTAAAAATCTGAGCAAATGTGACCATGGCATAAGTAGCACTTAACTAACTAACTTCATACTTTGTTTATTTGCGATAATGTTTACTATGGTGACTTAAATGGGCTATAGCAGGTCACGATAAACACCATATGGGACTGGCCTGAATTCCAATACTGGATTAAACTTATACTAAATCATTTATGTATGCATGTATTTCAGAGACCAGCTGAAACGGCATTATAACCTCAAACAGTTCTGGTTAGAGATTGATATTGAAGACATTCAGAGCTTTGATGAAACATTGGCTGAAAAACTTTACAAATCTCCAACAGAGCATTTACCACTGGTAAGTTGTGAGTTTTGTTCGAATTTTGCATTTTTGCACAAATTAAAGAATTCTTTGAGCTACTCTATTTTGAAGCCAATTTTTCTGTGTGAAACCCTAAAATGCCGTTATCTTCAAGAAAATATTAGAGGTGCATTTCTCAGTTAGATATTATCACATATGCATATCATCTGTCATTCTGTAATTGCCATCTAGGTCCTATGTAAATGTTCTCATCTATGTTCATTGTGCTTATCATCGCAAATATCAAATCAAATACCATAGGCTGTCACATGCAATAAAGTTTGGAGATTATTCAACTGACGACAGAGCAACTCTGTAACTGACATATATTCCTGGACATTTTTCAACCGCCATCCCTGAACCCAAATTTACCCCAAAATTATTATACCTATTTCTATGCATAATTAAGTAACACTTGAGATGCCGAGTATAAGAATCAACATAATGTCTTCAATTATAAGTTCTGTATCATCTAAAATGTAACACTTTACATCTAACAAGTACTAAAATGTGACCATCGATTAATTGATCGACACAAGTTTAATCGATTAAGATTCTTAATGCTCAATTAACTGATTCTCAAAAAGATAATCTTCAGCATCCTGCAGTGAGTAAGCTTACATGATGTCACTGACTGATTGAGACCTAATTTGTCAGGTTGACATGCCAAGCTTAAAACTCAACTGCCAAACAAGCTAATTACCCTAAGCCAGACGCTTACCTTTGTTGTTTTTGTGTTTTCTGATACATCTTATTGATATATTTTATTCAAAAGAGGTATGCAATCAAATCAAACGAATGAATTATCGCCTACTACTAAAGAATTAAAAAAATTGAGGGAAATTATGTCAGATCTCTATCATTTATATTAGAATGATTAATCGATGATTAATCGATTAAGATATTTTGTTGATCGATTAAGTGATTTACCAACAGTGCACACCTCTAGTATGAATACTAGATGTGTAGTTCTCCTCAACATAAATTCTCACATATTGGGTTTCTAGTTAGAGGATGCAGCAAAAGAGGTCGCTGATGAGGTTACAATGCCACGCCCTGATGGAGACAGTGAGGTCCAAGATATTCAAGTTATCATCAACTCTGATGCCAACCCAGCTAATGTTAGGAACCTGAAGGTAATACTATTTATTTAAAATTTATTCTACAATTGGTTTTCATAGGTACGCAGCGAATATTGTGGATCTAATATATTAACCTATTTCAGGGGCTTCACTAGAATTTTTTACAACAGGCTAAATAAATTAAAACAACAGTCAAAATTAAATCATTAGTTTAACACAGAAAAATTGAAAAGTCCCTAAAAACAACAGGTGATTTTGTGAAAACAACCAGTGAAAATTGTCTGCTGCAAATGAAACCCCTGTATTTAATATGATCATGTGCCATTGATATAAAAGTGAGAGCAAATCAATAGAAAAGAAAACCCTGTTTTTTATTATAAGTGAGATATGGATTAAGGATATGGATTAAGGCATGAACCCCGTTATACAGCACATAAAATTTTTTTTCACATTTTCAGTCGGACCAAATGGCGCGGCTGGTGAAAATCCCAGGTATCATCATCGCAGCTTCAGCTATCCGAGCCAAAGCCACGCGTATCACAATCCAGTGTCGTGGGTGCCGACAGCACATGAATAACATTCCAGTCAAACCTGGTCTGGAGGGATATGCTCTGCCAAGGAAATGTCCAGTGTAAGTATAGAAATCATGGCTAAATTTAATGGTGCATATTGAAGACCCAAATTGATTCCATTATTTGGCATCTAAAAATTGACTTTTGGGCTTCATTTTTAAAAATAGGCATCATTTGATTTTGAAAAAAGTGGCCCCATTTTTTTTATCAAATGTGTCCAAATTTTTAAAAAAATTGTCCTTTTGTGTCTGAGAACGAATTTTAAATCAATGACTTTTGCCCACCCCCCCATGGAATGGATGAATGCCAATGATTCTTTCGAGTTTTTTATCTAAGAATTTAAACAAATATTTATATCACATCAGTTTAATTTATTTACAGTGAACAAGCTGGCAAACCTGCCTGTCCAGTAGATCCATTCTTCATTGTTCCTGACAAATGTAAATGTGTGGATTTCCAAGTTCTCAAACTTCAAGAAAACCCAGAATCTGTCCCAAATGGAGAGATGCCAAGACATATGCAGCTGTATTGTGATAGGTAAGGGCGTTATGTGATTATGAATTAATGCAGATGTTTTGTGATAATATATTAATGCAGATGTTATGTGATAATATATAATGCAGATGTTTTGTGATGATAATATTAACACAGATGTCGTGTGATATAAGAATCATAACAAATACCTTGATTCTATGATTCATGACAAACAAGTATATTACCTCAGATTCTATCCTGTCCATTACCAAATACCTCAAACACTGAGATTTCAATCTTTTGACAATGATCAGAAAATATCATTGTTCATATAACACGCAATAAATCATAGCCAATCAGAATCTCTGTCTTTATTCCTTGAATAATATTTTTATTATCCTGGGCTTTCAATAGCAGGGGGCGATAGTCCAAAATCGCCGTTTGTTTTCTATAATTCGCCGGTTGTCAGAAGCCAAATATTGTCTTTAGAAAAATTGGAACATTTGATAATTGAACTCAAAATCGTTATTCTTCCTCTAAAATGCACCAACATTTTACTGAGTATTGTTCAGTCACTTATTTATATGATGTAAAGTTTATAGGTGAAAACAACAACGTTAATGCTTTAAACTAGACAATGTTTGATATGACCCCTCTTTTCCTGAATTACAAGTTCAAGCCTGGGACTCTGTTTTGAAATGATTCATTCAGTTTGCTGTTTGTTTTTGTCTCAGCAATCTTAATTAAAAAATTCAGCTTGACCAAGCTTATGTTTGCTTTGAAGATCACATCTAGCAACATATTCAACATTTTCTAACCTAAATTGATGGTTATCAAATATATGTTGATGGCTATTGTTGGGTGTATTACTGATTGAATATTTTCAAGAAAGAGGCCAGGGCAGTCCGTTTTGACTGGTAAATGAAGCCCCTCGCCTTTCTTACCTTCGACGTTCCAACATTTTGTTACCAAAACGAACCGTTTCGGTAACCAGCGTAATCGGGCGGATCACCAGTGAATAAAAAGAATTTGCATTTCCGGGAGTGTTAAATTGGTTATTTTGAATGCCGCCCCTTGTATTTCTCATCTGCCTCTTGTAAAAAAAGTTACTGAAACCACTGTTATCCCATCGAACGAAGTTCGGAGGGATATAGGGAACGCCTCCATCCGTCTGTCCGCCCGTCCGTACGTACGTCCGTCCGTCCGGGCAATAACTCAAATACCGTTGGCCCGATTTTGTTCATATTTTGTACACATATAGCCTATGGATGTAGAAGTTCTGCTCGAAAGCCGATTTTCAAAATGGCCGCTCATTTCAAAATGGCGGCCATTTTAGTGCCGAATTTACAGTAATTTAGGTGCAATATGTAAAACTGTAATAGCAATATGTTTTAGATGTAAAAAAATTATATAGGACATTAATAAAGCTAGAAATGTAGATATTAAAGTAGCACATGGCAGCCATCTTGAAAAATGGCGGCCTTTACTCGTTATTTTGCGATTTTTGCTGTAGTGGAGCGATTTTGTTCATATTTGGTATGTGAATACTATAAACATTGCACACTGTCTAAAGACACTTTTGGTAGAAGGTGGCCATTTTGAAAAATGGCCACCATTTTAACGTATTTTACTATAACTCGAAAAGTAGTGGAGCGATTTTGTTCATATTTGGTATGTGAATACTATAAGCATGACACACTGTCCTATGACACTTTTGGTAGAAGGCGGCCATTTTGAAAAAAATTTTGAAAAATGGCCGCCATTTTAACGTATTTTACTATAACTTGAAAAGTAGTGAAGCGATTTTGTTCATATATGGTATGTGAATACTATAAGCATGGTACACTGTCTGATGACACTTTTGGTAGAAAAGTGTCATTTTGAAAAATGGCCGCCATTTTAACATATTTTACTAGAACTCGAAAAGTAGTGGAGCGATTTTGTTCATATTTGGTATGTGAATACTATAAGCATGACACACTGTCCTTTGAGACTTTTGAAAGAAGGCGGCCATTTTGAAAAAAAATTTGAAAAATGGCTGCCATTTTAACGTATTTTACTATAACTCGAAAAGTAGTGAAGCGATTTTGTTCATATTTGGTATGTGAATACTATAAGCATGGCACACTGTCTGATGACACTTTTGGTAGAAGGCGGCCATTTTTCAAAATGGCCGCCATTTTAACATATTTTACTATAACTCGAAAAGTAGTGGAGCGATTTTGTTCATATTTGGTATGTGAATACTATAAGCATGTCACACTTTTTAAAAATGGCCGCCACTTTGAAAAATGGCCGCCATTTTAACGTATTTTACTATAACTCGAAAAGTAGTGAAGCGATTTTGTTCATATTTGGTATGTGAATACTGTCAGCATGGCACACTGTCTAATGACACTTTTGGTAGAAGGCGATCATTTTTCAAAATGGCCGCCATTTTAACGTATTTTACTATAACTCGAAAAGTAGTAGAGCGATTTTGTTTATATTTGGTATGTAAATACTATAAGCGCGGCACACTGTCTTATGGCATTTTTGGTAGAAGGTGGCCATTTTGAAAAATGGCCGCCATTTTAACGTTTTTACTATAACTTGAAAAGTAGTGGAGCGATTTTGTTCATATTTGGTATATGAATACTATAAGCATCGCACATGGTGTAATGACACTTTTAGTAGAAGGCGGCCATTTTGAAAAATGGCTGCCATTTTTACTATATACTTTGTTTGTAAAAATGCCACCCATGGCTGTTCGATGGGATTTGCTACGCTTTGGCGTTGCCGTTGTTCTGGTTATAATATAAGCTCATTGAATGCTGCCATTTTATGTTGTTCTTCCCCTTTGTTTAAGATACCTATGTGAGAGGGTTGTCCCCGGAAACAGAGTTACAGTAGTCGGTATATACTCCATAAAGAAATCTCTAGCAGGGAAGGTAAAGACAGTTTTATTTGTTCTAAACTGTAATTTCTATATAGATCTTTGATCTGAGTTCTTGATTTGAGTTCACAAAGTAGTAAACAACATGCTGTCTTCAATTGAGGAACTCCTTTCATTTTGAAATGATTTTAGATCACAATTTTTAAGTCTCCCTAAACATTTTGTAAAGGCAATAGTGAATACATTTGCAATTGAAAATTCTCACTCTTCTGAGGGAGGGGGATATTAAACATACATATAACTTAATTTTCCAATACATGCACCTACATTTGCATATTATTTTCAGAGGGGAGGAAAAGATAAAGTAAATGTTGGAATACGCCAGCCATATTTACGAGTCATTGGCATTCAGGTGGACACCCAAGGGCCAGGACGCAGCACAGGGGCTACTCTTGCCCCTCATGAGGAAGAAGAGTTTCGCCATCTCGCAGCCAGCCCAAATATTTATGAAAAATTATCTAAAAGTGTGGCTCCATCTATATTTGGTGGAATGGACATGAAAAAAGCTATCGCTTGTTTACTATTTGGAGGTTCTCGAAAAAGGTACTTTTTTCACCCGAAAACCACTAATTTACCATTCTGACAGCATTCAAACATTCATGAATTTTATTTTATTGTTTTGTGCCAAAATGATGTCAGAATTTTTTGTGCAGAATTTTTGTATTTTGCAACTTCTGAGGATTCATTGAATGTTATATAGGAAATTCAAGTTAAGTTTCCTCAATCCATGCATGCCTGAAATAAAAGTGCATGAATAATATATTCAGATTGTGAAATGATAACAGTGATCTCCCCAGCATTAAAGCAAGTGGGCGCAGTAGATTTTGAAAACAGGTTGCATCCTTTTGCACCCACTTGAAAATGAGAAAAATCATGAAAAATTTTGACCAATTTTTGTCTGAATTGTGAAAATGAGAATTTTGCATCCACCTGAGAAAAAATCGGCCTGAGGAGATCACTTCAAGTTGAAAAACTGTATGAATGAATGTCTATTTGTAAACATTTGACCTCCCTAGCTCTCTCACTTGCCTCATGCTTATCTACCCACACCCTTGTACATATTCAAATGTTTTTCATTTTCAGATTGCCTGATGGCCTCACTAGGAGAGGAGATATCAACCTCCTTATGTTAGGGGACCCAGGTACAGCCAAGTCGCAGCTGCTAAAATTTGTAGAACAGTGTAGCCCAATTGCAGTGTACACATCAGGCAAAGGAAGTAGTGCGGCAGGTCTCACTGCATCAGTTTCACGAGACCCAGCCACGGTATGTTCTTATTGATTTGGATAGTGTCATACAATTATAACTCAACTGCATTGAAACAAGTGGGTGCTGCACCCTCTTGAGGATTTTGAAAATAGTCCAGCACCCACATGAAAAAATAAAAAAAAGTGGCGCATATTGACCATATTTGGACATACTGCAAAAATCCTGGGTAGAACTAGGGGTCAAACGGTTAACCGCGGTACGCGGTTACCGCGGTACATGATGCTAGGACGGTATTTTCGGTTCATAAATATGAGATTCGGTTCATCCACGGTTCGAGGAAAAATTGAAAACTGAAATTTTTTAGACTTCAATATTCTCTCTTTCGTTCGACATGAACTTATTCTTCATGTATATATTCCTTAAAAACATGTTTATAGCAATAGAGAACATTCAATTCTTACCTTAGATATGAAACAGATCGCTCACAAATCGATAGACAAGTAATTGTTTACATTTTTGTGACTATAAATAGACCGGAAGTTGGTCTCGCCAGATTACGCTATTCATAGTACAATTAATTTTGCTTCGTGGAGGTGTTTTGTCTGTTATAATAAGTTAGTTATTAATCAATATTATTTAAAAAATACTACAATTACAGAAATTATAACATTACTCATGTCTTTGTTAAAAACTTGAAACATATTTGTGTTTAAATCTCCCGCACAATCACAGCGCCATCTGTGCTGATTCAGATGAGTTGAATACACCAAGTAAAGAGATCTCTTTACTTGGTGTACAGTATTCGACTCGATCTTTTTATGCATGTTCCCGGGGCTATTAGTCATTGTTAGTTACTGCTTGTGCTACATGTAGATCTCAGCTCTTATCTGACAGAAATCTTATCAAGGACAGAAAAATCTAAAGTTTAAAATTTAAAGTGGGCCACTAGGCCAATAAACTTTGCTTTGTCAAGTCAATTTAATAAAAAAAAAGGATAGTGGGACCAGGATAGACTTGGGTAAGGCTAGGTAGAAAGCTAAAACCTGTTTCTTTATGAGCTGTCTTTACAATTTTTTAAGGAAATATTACCAATTTACGAGACCCGCGAGAACCGTGAACAGAACCGAACCGTGAACCTAAAAACCGTGACCGAACCGAACCGTTGGAATTTTGAACCGTTTGACCCCTAGGTAGAACATTGTATGAACTTTACTCACAGTTCAGAAGAAGTTACCAGAAGTCTATTATTTTTTTGAGGATGGCGGTTGTTGTTTGATGTTTTCAAGGTTTGGTGGAATCATGTAGTCATTCATGTTTTATTCTAGTCAAGAACACTAGTTCAGAACAAATAATTTTTGTTGAAATGAACTTATATTAAAGTAAAAGTTATTTTCATTAAAAAAGTTATTTTCATTAAAATAATGTCATGTTTCATTTATTTGAAAATTTGAAATATTACCATGGGAAAGCAGAGGGCAGCCTTATAAGAATAACAAAAATAATATGAACCCCTTTCATATTTACAGCGTAACTTTGTAATGGAGGGTGGTGCAATGGTACTGGCTGATGGTGGTGTGGTGTGTATAGATGAGTTTGACAAAATGCGAGAGGAGGACCGAGTCGCAATGCACGAGGCTATGGAACAACAGACCATATCTATTGCAAAGGTAGGTCAGAGGTTATACTGTAGACTAGGTGCCTCTATAAGAGAGAACTATTTCCTGTTGCAATTGAAAATAAGATAATTGATTGAAGAGCAGCAGAGCAGAGCAGTCCGCATTCTCCATCTTTGAAACATTGATGTTAAAGCTATATCTGTTTCAGAGATTACTTTTGTATAGGGAACATTAAAGAGATGAACTATTTAAGTCATCTTTTTATACACTCTAGTTCTGATTTCTCCATGAAAATTAATTTCACTTTCACTACACAAAAGAGAGCTTCATCAGCACCTTTTAAAATAAAGATAATCGTTGATCTAATCCCTTACCCAATCGGAATCTCATATCTTTTTGCCTGTTGTCGGAAATACTGTTGAAACCTCCCCGATGTAAACGTGATTTTCTAAATTCCTAATTTTAGGCTGGTATAACGACAACATTGAACTCTAGATGTTCTGTACTGGCAGCAGCTAACAGTGTATTTGGACGATGGGATGATACGAAAGGAGCAGAAAACATTGACTTCATGCCAACAATTCTTTCACGTTTTGATATGATCTTTGTTGTAAAGGATGAACATGATGAAACAAGAGATATTGTAAGTTAATATTGAGGTTATTTTATGATGTAGAAATGAATCATTTTCAAGGACTGCATAAAATTATTTACCCAAGAATTTTTGAGACACCCTTGGTCCACATCACTTTTAAAGAATATTCCATTTTGTGCAGAATATTTGCGAAACATCTTTAATTTATTACCGAATGAATACATGTAAGAATATGCTAAAAACCGATGTGTGTCGATTGAACTGTTGATCCTGTGTAACCCATTCTCCTCAAAGTACAGTTTTCTATTTTTTTTTATATCAAATAAATCAAAACTGCTGTTAACAAGAAATCAAATACATTTCTTATATTAACATAAGCATTATCTTGATTTTTCAGACACTGGCTAAACATGTGATGAATATTCACATGAATGCTCAACAGATGGTGGAACAGGGCAGGGAAGGCGAGATTGACCTCAACACATTCAAAAAATATATATCATTTTGTAGAAGGTAACATATGTTCATAAACTTTACACCTACAGCTTGGATTTTTAGAAATGTTTTCTTTCATTGCTTGCTCTCATGTCAATGTTCTCAAATCACTAATTTTTCTCAGAAGTGTGCACTGTAAGTTTGAAAATATTAACTAATATGTGTTTTCATATTCTCGATTTTCAATTGATACCAATGACCACACCGGAGTAGCCTGACAACGGTAAAGTCAGATACCGCTGTCACAAATGGCGGACATAACCTTCGCTTCAACTCTTCAATCATTTGGTCCTCATTTCATGGGACTTTATCGTAGCTAATTCTCTGCATGTATTAAGCTCTTGTGATGTTGTATCACATGAAATCCCAATTTCGATCAAATTGGGTCTTGAATCGAATATAGCGTCTTTGATATTGTCAATGACAACGGAATCTGAATTTGAAATAATTTACAAAGACAACGTCATATGGGAATACAGTGTCCGTTGTCCCGTATCTCATTTTGATCGGTTGAATTATAGACTTTATTTCCATGGTAGAACATTATTAACTGTACAATGAGTATAAAGACACTTTGATTGATTGTTGTTCCAAAGGAATTTAGTCAAGGTGCTCTATTAAACATACAGTTCATGAAAATCTAATTGAAGCGACGGTTATGTCCGCCATTTGTGACAATGGTATCTGACTTTACCGTTGTCAGGCTATTCCGGTGTGATGACAAGTGTTCTAGAATACAATAAGTGTAATAAATAGAGACACGCATGAATAAGGCAAATATTAGGCATATGATGAAGTAACATTAAGTCATTACTTTAATATGGTATCAAAAGCAGATGTTACATAATATTTTGTTTTGTGGTTGCACTGGGATTAGTCTATGTCTTATACCAGTGAAAGGCCAGACATTGTTTATTTCACACATATCATTGTATATTTTCACACATCTCATTATATATTTTCACACATCTCATTGTATATTTTCACACATGTCTCTCTAAAATTGCAGTAAATGTGGACCCAGAGTGTCAGAATCAGCTGCTGCAAAACTGAAGAATAGATATGTCCTCATGCGCAACGGAGCAGGAGAATATGAAAGAGAGGCTGGGAAAAAAACTACAATTCCAATTACAGTGAGGTTTGTACAAATGATTTCTGAACTTCAAATTAATAATTTTGACCATATTTTGTTCAAAATTAAAAAATTGAAATGATACTGCATTACCATTTCTCTTTAGATCATAATTTTCCAGTTTATTGACTGTGTTACAATAGCAACTAATGCTTTTCAAATGACAAGCATCTTGGAACACAAGTCTTTTTGCTCTATCTGATGATATATATTATTTACGATTCATTCATTCATCGATAGACATGTTCTTGTGTGCAACTTGCATGGCCAAATGACAAGATTTCAAAATCAGATTAGCTCTAAGATTTACTGCGTTAGATGTAAAAATTTCAAAATAAATAGAAGGAGAGTCTTGCTTCAAGACCCTTGACTATCTACTCCTAGTCTTATCTAACAACAGTTGTTTGAGTTGATAGTCCAAGGTCTTGAAGCAAGACTTATAGAATGACGACAGCCTGTTTTTAGCTCATTTAACCATAACCTTTTTATTCCAGACAACTAGAGGCCATCATTCGCATCTCAGAATCGCTCGCCAAAATGAGGCTAGCACCATTTGCAACTGAGGCTGACGTAGATGAAGCGTTGCGTCTTTTCCAAGTTTCCACTCTAGATGCTGCTATGACTGGAAACCTAGCAGGTAAATATTGATTTTCTCAGACATAAATGTCTACATTATTTTTGAAATTCACACAATGTGGTATTTTTTGGCTGCAGTTTACTGTATACTGTTGACAATATTTTGTATTACTGTATGAAATACGGCGTCCACAAAAAAAGTATATATCCAACTATTTTTGGTGGACGCCCGATAGTTAACCCAGTTTTTGTCACTAAAATTATTGCATGTTAAATCTTGATACTGTAGATTGGGTTAATTTGGCGCCCGCTTTAATTTGGCGAATTTGGCGAAATTGAAAAACTGCCAATATAAATCTTCGCCAAAATTTAAAATGAATCCCCGGGAATTATCTAGAGTATTTCCTCCAGTGTATTTAGGTCACTTCCGGTTTAGTTTCTTTCAAAAATATGAAAAATGTCTCTCATAAATTGGCTCAGAACTGGTCAGTCACTCATTAATATTCAGGGAAAAACTAGAAAGGAAAAGCGTGGTATAGTAGCAGCATCGATCGAGGTGCAAAATGTAAAGGATGATCGCCAGTGGTCCTCAAAAGAAAAATGGACATAGCCAAACTTATCCATTTACATGGTAAGTTAATTTTCTTGCATATCCGCCAAATTAAATAGCCGCCAATATGCCAAAAATGGCAAAATCGCCAAATTAAGTAGCGCCAAATTAACCCAATCTACAGTATTAGAAAAGCATGTGTATCTATTCACAATGGTATACTAATTTCAAAGGTCTTATAAGATGTAAATAAATGTAAATCTGTTTAATTCAATTTACAACCAGCATTGTCATGATATGGTTATTGATAATGAATGAGTAAACTGTAATGAATGAATTATGTTCAACAGACTTGAAAAGTACATTTGCTCCCTGTTGGTTCCACATGTTACAAAAATTTGAAAAAGTGGCAAGAGTCAATAAGGGAAATAAATTTCAAAATTACATCTAACTGAGATTCAAAAATACCAGGAATACACCTTTGCATGCATTCACCATATTATTGGAGTTTGTCATGGTTAAATTTACTGTAGTAGAAAATCTGATCATTACAAGTGACTCCATGGTCACACTGAGATTGGTCATAATCGGATAAGGTGGTTCATGATCATATAACATGAACTGTATGAATTTATATTTTTTGTTTTGTTCATATTGGGTGTGTCTTGATTGTCTATGGTGTCTCATGTCACTTTTTGTCTTCCCTTAGGAGCCGAGGGTTTCACCACAGAAGAAGATCAAGAAATGCTAGGTAGAATCGAAAAACAAGTAAAAAGACGATTCGTCATTGGATCACAAGTTTCCGAACATGCTATTGTGCAGGATTTCGCAAAACAAGTAAGTTGTAATAATGAAAACAAACATTTATGCCCACTTCTGTAAAAAGTAAATCCTATTTTTTGCTCACCTCGCATTTATTTATTTTGATTAAAACTTTCACTTCAAATTTTCTCTCTTTCGAACCAACTTTGAATTCTAGTTTCCAACTTTGCAATTTTATTGCAGCTTACAATTTCTTATTTAATTTCGTATTCTTTTTTATCTCCAGAAATACCCAGAGCGTGCCATCTATAAGGTACTTCAATTTATGCTGAGACGTGGTGAGATCCAACACAGGATGCAGCGCAAAATGTTGTACAGAGTTAAATAACCATAGCAACATACAGCATTTTACCATAGCAACAATCAAGATCGTTGTACTAACATTGTATAACCATAGCAACAAGGAACAATCACAGACAACCGTAACTACATTCAAAGTTACACAATGGATGAACTGTTGTCTAGTTGTCTTAACAACATCAAGAATACTAAACTATAGTATCATAAAAGTTGTTTCAAATCCTAGGGATGATGTGGAAGTTATTGTTAAAATAACGAATAATGTAAATATCTAATGTATTGCATATAGGACATTTAGCAAGCACTCTTTGATATTGCATACCGGAATACTTCTATAAAATCATGTTCAAGTTGAAGAATTGCCAAACTAAATGTAAAATATAATAAAATACATGGTAAGATTTGATTGAGGTTTGAATACCCATATTGAAATAAATAAATCATTATATTTTATAAAGAAAAAATAAGTCTCCGTCACTTTGCTGAAAGCAGTGAACTTTCATGAGAAAAATTTAATTTGGTATCATGCTTTTCTCGTGACCAGCATTGGATGGTTGTTTCTGTTGTTATGTCATCGCAAAAAACTGGTGACATTTTGTTATGGTCTCCGTTTCTGTGACGGCGGATGGCGGTTGGCGTCTATAACAAATTTTTTAAATTTCCAATAACTTAACAAATACTGTGTAGACTGACTTCAGTTTTTTCTAAAAATCATCCACAAGTTTTTAGAAGTTCAAAGCTGACTTTATATTTAAGATTTGACCTTCAGTGACCTTTTCAAGGTAAAAAAAAGGTCAAGGTATTTTTTCAACTTGTTTCAAATCGACCAATTTTTTTCAAGTCATCTACAAGTTATGATAAGTTCAAATCTGATTTGAGATTTGACCTTCTCAAGGTCAATATGGTATTTTCTCAACTTCCTTCAAATTGACAATTTTTTCAGAATCATCTAGAAGTTTTCAAAAGTTCAGATCTGACTATAGCTTTGACCTTCAATGACATTCTCAAGGGTAAAAAAATATTTGACCTTCTCAAGGTCAAACGGTCTTTTTCAACTTGCTTCAAAGGAGTTTACCAATTTTTTTTCAAAATCATCTACAAGTTCTCAGAAGTTCAAATCTGACTAGATTTGAGAATTCACCTTCAATGACCTTCTCAGAGTCAAAAAAGGTATTTTTCAACTTGCTTCAAATTGACCAATTTTCTATTTCAAAATCTGCATCCACTAGTTCTCAGAAATTCAGATTGAACTCATAATATTGTGACCAACTAGAGTTGTTTGGATCACACTTGAATGGATGAAGTAATGCTATGCAAATTAATTTAAGATTTGAATGAGCCACGTGTGTGAAGGTGGTATGATGATTAAGACTAACCCGATCCCGAGATCTCTTGGTCGCTATAGCAACAATTTCACACAAGATATTTTAGTATTAATATGATGTTTTTGTACATGAAGAGGATATTGTATGAAATGAGTGCAAAATGTTGAAGACTTTTTGAACAACCCTCGTATGTTTATTAAATCTCTGCAGTGTCAGTCACACAAACTACAATTTTATGGCCAGTCACAACAGCTGCAATCAACTTTAAAGCAGAGTCCAGAAGAGCAGGTCATGTCGTATCCGATATCTCCGACACATTGGCAGTATTTCCCACAATCCCCAGTCGGGTGATCAGTGAAGCTGGCACCCGCAGACTGGGCACAGGCGGCGCTACACGTAGCTGTAAATGCATGAATTAATTCACTTTTTTACGTTCTAACTACCATTACGTTCTTAAGTCATTAAGACTAAAAAATCTGAATACATTTATCAAATTTCAAACAAGAACTTTGATAAGCTGTCTTAATCGTGTTAAACTGATCCATTCACAAACCTGTATTTTATTAATTGTACAGGGTGGGCCAGGGCGACCCTAGTTATATTTTTGCCAGTTCAGAATAGGTGATATTTTTGGCACACCCTGTATATCAAGATTATTTGCATTGTAAAGGAACTGTACTGAATTATTTTACCTAATGGATCAATGTTTTAATTATCCTATATAAATATTTATCTATTTTATTTTGTTCAATCACTTTGGTATTTTCTATACCGACGAAAAGTACTTAGAAATATGCATATAGCTGAGTTACTGAAGTGTTCCTATTCATTTAAGTAATTTGATATTATCAATATCCCATTTTGAGATATGTGTCATATTATTTAAATGAATTGTACAAGCTATAAGCTATACGAGCCGACATTAGGAATAGTGTGACACTTATTTTATTAAATAACGTGGAAACATTACATCACAAAGACATAAAACAACACAATAAGCATATTTGGGTTACACCAGCTTGTTAATTTATTTATGCTAAAAATCATCAAAATCATACAATAAAAGCGAGGAATATAACACGCACTTTGCCTCTGGTATCCGCACGTACTTAATATGTACACTGAGCAGAAGAATCGTCCCAACATGTATTTTCTGGGCAATTCAACTCGTATCCGACTCCGTTAGCACACTGACAAAACATTGTGCATTGTACGGTTGGATGATTTGTGTAGGCGCAAGTGGGGCATGCTAAGCACATGTCAGTGCATGTACCACCTAGGACCAAAGAAATATTATAATTAAAAGTTATTCACTGAGAGGGTTAAGATACAGAATATATGCATGTCACGTTGAACCTAAACCATGAGTATATAGTTTTGTGCTGAATGATGGCACAGTAATCGGTTTATTGAATAAATCTTAAAAAGGATGAAAAAGCGAATACTGCGCCATCTATTATCGTCAAACACCTACGCATGTCTCACATTTTGACAACATTAAACGAAGATTGTAAGTTTAGGGTTTGAGGGACAAATATACAATACAATATGGAGTTTAAGCTTGCAATGTTTTTCACAACCTAAACGTGAACGGAAAATATTTAAGCGATGCCTTTGTATGGGCGATCGGTCATACAGGTTGGCGTTTCGATTTTATATGCAAGCTTAAACTCCCGATTGACTACATGTATCTACCATATTAGTGCCTCGAGGAAAACTTGATGCTTGTCTTGAATGAATTGCAGCAAAATATGGAGAATGCAAAATGCAAAAGAAATGAAGTTAGTGTAGCCATAGACACGTACACTAAATAACACGTATAATAGTCTTGCCACGAACCCCTTTGAACCCGCCACACCCCCAACACCCCCCCCCCTCCATGGAAAACAACACCATGCATCGCTCATATTTGACTATCTATGGTGAAGTTTAATTCACGGGTAAAAGCATGAGACGCTTGCGAACACACAGGCAACAAAACCAAACGTTACACAAATCACAAGACACAAAATATCTGAACAGTTGCAGAAGGCTAACCTGGAGAAGCTGTTGAAGTTGTAGTTGTTGCAGCTGTTGTAGTTGTGGTTGTAGCAGCGGTGGTGGTTGTAGCACCAGCAACAGTTGTTGTTGTGGGACCTTGGGTTGTAGTTGCGCCACCACTAGAAAAACAACTCAATTAAACATGCGACTTTCACATGGCTACTTATGAAGTAATAAACATGACGTAACCACTCAAAAGAAGATTTTGAAAAACGGAAACGGCAAATATTATTCAAATATTATTATCTTGAAATTATTATCTTAAATATTCCCTTGAGTTGACATTGACCTCATCAGATTTAGTAAAAACGAAGACAATGCAAATATACTTTTCTGAAAAGGTAATTGCAGACATGTCTTCATATCTAATAAATTGGGGACAAGAAATGACATTGGTTGGACCAGCAATGTAGTGAGGCCACTCTCAGGGGCACGTTTGTATTCACACCGTCTTACCATGGTATAGGAGTTCCATCTAGGCATGTGTCGAGGTTATCAACAATTGCGTTCATAAGAGGGTAAGCCCCACCGCCACACTGGTTACTGAAATCATCCAAGTCTAAAGCCCACACGATAACACCAGGGAAGTTGTTCTCAGCTATCCAGCGAGTCTAAATAAAGGGATGTTTATGTATCACGAAGATGTTGGATGAGTAGCAGATCGAGTGCACAAAGTTAGGGTTTCGTTATCTCTAAATAATTACTAGTATGTGTACCACCTACCTTCTCTATTACAGAAGGGACGTCATCATAGCCAACCCATTGGTCACTGTGGTATGCAAATGGCGCTTTAATTTCGTCATTCCAAATTCTATTTCCACCGTACTTAGCACCAAGGAAGTCCAAACACACCTTCAAAATAAAAGTATAGTATTGATAATGCATGGTGTTTTAGGGCACGTGCTATTAATTGGTATCATTCCATGCTACAATTAATGTTTGCTATCATGTCATACTTTTTGTCATGGGATAGCCGCATACTGCTTGGAATGCCACAACCAGGACGTCTTCATATTAAAAGACTCAGTGAGTGTTTATATGCATTAGTTGAATACCTCGTAGTATGCCAAGAACCCGTATGTTCTTGTCCATGTGCCGTTTACTCCCTCTCCAGTTGCCGGGGCGTCAAGACCGAAAGTTGATGGGTTGGCCAAAGTAAAAGATCTACCGTAAAGAGGGATACCGATGTTCAGCTTGTCTCTGTCAGCGCCCAGAGATACCCAGTAATTAGATGACCATTCCTAAAATCAGAAATTTAACCTTCTCTATCGTTACCTCTACGACACGATGATTAAAAAGCGGTCATTTGAAGATCACTACAATCAGAAGTTGACTCAAGTATTTTTCAATTTTTTGATTATTGATCTGGGAAAGTTTTGCCAAAGTTTTGTAACATCACGGGGAAATGTAGTTCAGGGGTTCAAATAAAGTAAGGGGACCCAGATTTTAAGTCTGAATAAAAGTCTTTCCGTCCTAAAATTGTTCTGGGCCCTAAAACCACTGGGCCCAAATTTTGAAAATAAAGGCCCATTTTCTTCAGTGATACTTTGGCCTAAAATTTAAAAAAGGCTCAAAAGGCCGTGCTCCCCCCTAAAGATTCCATTTCTTTGGTTTTAGTTTCCCAAGCCCCAGTTACACACGAGAACTAAAATAAACAATTTTCTCCCGGGAGACTTACAGTTGTCCAATACTCGTCATCGGATCCGGCCTGGCTAGCGCGAGAATACAGTGGGGCGTTATGGTCAGTGTCAGTCTCCCATGCTCCGTGGAAATCGTAAGACATCACGTTGATGAAATCCAATGCGCTTTAAGAATCAATTGAAAAAGAAAATTCTAATATTCGAATTGTTTATTATTATAACTTATAGATTACATCAGAAAGTTCTCAAGATAATTATAATTTTTATGCAAATATGCAAATAGAAATACTGATCTTGCTTTGTCATTAAAAATTCAAAATTCAGTCAAAGTGATATCATATATGAAATAACATCTGGAAATGTGGTTTTTAAAGTGTTCATCAACTTGGAAAATTTGATTTTCTGGGTTATAAGGATACGAAACGACTCTTGCATGCTATATTTCAGGGAATATCGAAACCTCACTCCGTCCCACTCTTTTAGGCTAGGTTAGTGTATTAGGCATTTTAAAAGCTAGAAAGTGGAGAGGCAACCACAGTAAATTAATTAAGAGTGACTCACTATGCCTCCCCAAATCTAATGCGCTAAAGAATCAAGATACAGACAATCAAATTTTCAAAGCATAATATGTCTACTGAGCATCAAGGTCGGCGGACCGACTTACGCATTAATTTCTGGGACTTCGTAAGCCGAATCGACGGTTGCTTTCCCGGCTCCTACAGCGGCAGTTAGGAGAAGCGTCGGCCCTGTTGTATCAGCATCAAACGCTGCTCTTAGTTCCTGAAAGAATATAAGTACACATTATCTTTCTTGGCAAAAACTACAAATGTCCCGCCATACGGTTCACTTTATAAACATGAACATTAACTTTTAAATATCACTGTGACAAACAGAATTGAAGTAATGTATTTGAAAAAGGCTTCCTCAATTGCTTCTAACTTTTCAAGTTTTTATAAACAAAACATGTATTCACGCACAAGAAATATATGTCAAGTTAGTTAGAACATAAACCCCAATCCTCAATTGTAATCCTGAAGAAAAAATTAAGGTTCAAAGAAAAAACAGTCCGATCCTATCCAATCAGAGCTTAAAGAGGATATACGAACCTGGCAAAGGAGTGTGAATCTTTGTTTGTCCTCTGGCGGGCTACCACGGTTGGCAGGATACTCAAAGTCCAGATCTAGTCCATCAAAGTTCCTACTCCTGAGGAAGGTCAGTGCCGAGTTGATGAATGCTGCGCGTGTTTGGGTCGTGGCCATCATATCAGAGACGACATCCATGCCGAAGTTCCATCCACCAATGGCGAGGAGCGTCTTCAATTCCGGGTTTTGATTTTTAAGATTGTTAAATTGCTCGTACCTATAAAAGAAGAACTCATAATTATCTCTTCTAGCTGCGCACAAACTTTCGTTTGTCACAATATTTGCAGGTCTTGTTCCTGAATACCACACGTCGATGTGATGCTTTAATCATATTTGAAACGTCTTTCTTTTTCTTGACAGAATTTAACAATTTTTTCAGAGCATTTAATTTAGACAAAATTTTGAATCTGCCATTCTGTTTCCGTCAGAAAGAAAATATGTTAAGTAGGCTACGTTTTCCGCGTATGTTCATCATTCTTCTACCCCAGAGGTCTATCCCATATACCTTTGCTTCGACGTTTCCCATCATCGCCCACAAACATGCATGACCAGGTATACTTACAAGCCACCGGGTCCATCGTCGTTCCACTCATAGGGGATGATTTCAAACGTTGTAGCATCAATTACACCGAATGAATACATCAAATGGGTGCAGAGGTTGGGGTTGATGTCTGGGGGGTTAAACGTGCCTGGGCTGGGCCTGAAATGACCATTTGTCTATGTACTACATGCAACGCAGCGCCAACACAGACTGCATTTCAAAAAAACTGAATTTTAGTTTTTTAATTTAACTTGATACGTTTGAACTTATTGAATCTTAGAAAATATATATTATCGGGACTTGGATTTAAAAATGCTTCAAGATTTATCCTGTGAATTCGTAAAAGATTATTTAGAATTGGGAAATGGACAGAAAGACTCGACTTGTTCTGTTCCGGCTACTACATACCTATATTGGGACCAATTTGTGTGATAGCATATCACTCGCTTGTTGCTGGCTACTACAATCATAATGATTTACGATTAATGATAACAGTTATAATTTACGATTAATGATAACAGTAAAATAATGTTATTATTAGATTTCTATGGAATGTATTCGACTTACAAGACATTTATCTTTAAAAATTTGTTAAAAATATCATCATTTTGAAATGTATGGAGGAACATTTGATGATTAAAAAATTCAACTTTTTTTGAAAAATGGCGGAGTAGTTATAAATAACGATAAAGTTAAAGTGGCTATAACAGCCTTTAAGGATTATGACAAAGTTGGAGAAGTTATATCAATATAGAATATAAATAAAAGATTATGGTAAAGTTAGAGTGGTTAAAAGTACACTCCCCTCCATAAGTTTGGCAACCTTTTTTCCCCATTGAACTACGTGTTAAAGCCTCTTTACCTTTGAATTTTTATTTACTTAACCTGCGATGAAAATACTTATACTATTGTTGGAAACGTAATTTGACTTTAATTCCAGTACCTCCAAATTTTCTCAATTTTTTTCCTCAATTACAATAGGTCGTAAATTGATGATAAATTTGATGAATTTTTGAAAATCGACATTCCCATGTTAACCAATGGGAAATGGTAGGTTTGCCGCAAGTCATATGACAGAATATCCATCCATCCGAGTCCTTGCAAAAAATACAAGTTAGACAGGCAATTCAATTTGCTAACTTTATTTAACAAAAAATTGATATGTTTCTTCAGGTTCAACAAAGTTATAAGGCTTTAAAGTCAAAATTGTTTTTCAAAAAACCTCTCCCATTGAAATAACACAGGAGGCGAAAAATTATTTTCTAAAATGACTTTGAAGCGCTGTAACTTTAATATTCATCAAATAAACTAAACACTTAGTGTTCATAAAAGTTAGACAATTCAATTTTCTATATAAAAATATTTTTTGCTGAATCTTTTACTGAAAAGATATCCTGATTTCTGATTTGCCCCGAACCCTCCATTTCCCATTGGATTACATGGGAATGACGATTTTCAAAAATTCATCAAATTTATCATCAATTTTCAACCTATTGTAATTGAGGAAAAAATTGAGAAAAATTTGGAGGTATTGGAAATAAAGTCAAGTTACGTTTCCATCAATATTATAAGTTATTTTATCGCCGGTTAAGTAAATAAAAATTCAAACGTAAAGAGGCTTTAACACGTAGTTCAATGGGGAAAAAAGGTTGCCAAACTTATGGAGGGGAGTGTACGTCTTTAGGACAGTGACAATGTATTGTTGTAGTCGTTTAGATGAACTTCCTTACCTGGCTTTCTCTCCTTGAGAAAGGTGGCACCAAATGCCACTGTAGCCAAAGCCAATAAGATCCAATGACTAAACATTTTGTGATATGTTTGTCTCAATATAAGTTCTACAAATGGCCTAAAATACAATAAGACATTTCAATACTTTGTCCCAACTTTGTTTTTTCATAAATGCTTTTAAAATTGATAACTAAGTACAGTAATTTGAAGGTATCGTACTCTTTAGAATTATACTTGATTATGGATTGGGGACTTACACGAACAAAAAAGGATTTGATTTCATAACGTAATTAAATGGCTGATAGGTAGACATCACTTCATGCGACTAGTAGCTTATTGATAGCTTATTCAATTTTGTAAAATATTACAAAAAAGATTTTTTGAAAAAAATCAGCATTAAGGTAGGTTTATTAATTTTTGATTGGACTTACCCGATTTACTGTTAAAGCTCCAACCCTGTTAGTTTGTAATGAATGTGAAACTGCTTCGTTTTTTATACCATGCTCCATTATCAGCACCATAATTCAAAACAATGAGATAAGATGTGAAAACGCCCAACCTTGACAAAATAATTTTGTAATTTCAGCATTCGCCTCCCTTCTTATCTGGGAGCGCCAAACTTAGAAGGCAATAACCCCGTTTTCGGAATATTACTCCATTTTTGGAAATTTTGATCAACAGATCTAAAGTTGATATTGAATAATCTAGTCTCATGCTTTCTAAGAATGTGTTCATGACCGGTAACTGGTCAAAACGGGGAGCAAATGATATTTGGATGTTAAATTTGCAAAGGGAACCAAATTAAGTTAACCATTCTGTCAATTAATGCAAGTCCAGATAAGTGACCATTGTCCACCCATTTTGGTTTAGTTTTTAAAGGGGCAACAAAAAATAGGAATTTTATTTTGGAAAATTGTAACACTTTACAGCAATCTTGCATTTCTATTGTCCAAGGGTTCTAACTAGGCATGGACGGAGCGCTATTTTTCTTAGTAGTACGCCAACACGGGAAAACAAGTTGAGCGAAGCAAAAAATGAGCGTCTGGGGGGTTCTCCCCCAGATTTTGGTTGTATTTTGAGCGAATTTACAACCATCTGGTACATCTAGGTACCAGCGTTCCGGGCGCAACGCCAATGCTAATAGGATTAGTAAACCCAAATTCTGAAAAAGTGGGCGTCCTGCTATGCGTATTAAATAAGGCGTCCTGTATATAAATCTGTAATTAATTGCTTTCATATTTGATCAACTATCGAAAGTCTTTTTAGATTTTATTTGGGATTTAAAGGAACATCTCACTGAAAGATTTATGTCAAGAAAAGTATACAAATCTTAGAGACAAAAGTATGGCTTAACATTACAACAATATTTTCAGTATTATTTACGTGATATAAAAAAGGTTGCAGAACGACATTAGGGTTAAACAAATATATATTGACGATATTACTTCTGATGTTCTTAACTTTCTAGCCTTTGTTAACACTTTAAATTCGAACTCACAGTGCATTTATCATTTGTTGAGGGAAATGTTCAGTTGACAGATTCGTTCCAATAAATCAGATTCCAAATTTCAAGGGAGTTTGACGCATGCGCATGGCTGAGAAGCGAAACGTGTTGTAATTGAAAAAAATGTTGGGACTAATTTGTTTTGACCAATTCAAAATTAAAGAATATTTAGTCTCATGTGATAATATCATGATAAATAGCAAGGCAAACTATTTTCAAGCTCAACGTTTTTGTCTGTAACATATTTGTCTACTACAAAGAACAATTAGTGATTTAGTATAAAAATAGATAAATGCTTAACTTGGTATTATTTCAATATAATTTTGGTTCATGATTTTGCCTAGCAACCACATTGCCACGGAATATATTTACCAAATTAGTGAAATTAAAAGGTTAGGGGACAATGAAAAAATTATCTAAAATTTCATAAGAATTCTTACGTTGGGTAAAATGCGAAAAATATTTCAAAGTAGTTTTTGAGAAAAAAAATTTGTTTTCTCAAAATTCGTAGAGAACATGATTCGTGAATATTTGTCGATTAACTGTATTCTACCTTCATAGTGGCCCGATTTTCATGAAATAAAGCATGTTAGAATGTCAATAATGTGCTAAACGATGAGCTATAAAACAGAGCAATGATCACTTTGCATTTTCTATAGCATTAGAAACAGGGTAACTGTCAATATTTTATGAATTTCATTTTTATTGGCATCAGCTTCTGGCTATTATAAGTTTGCCCCTCTCACCTCTACCCATACAATTACGCCAAAAAGTGTCTTATATCTGTGGCTCAAGGTAAAATTAACGGAGGCACAAAAGAACTTGAAAAAAGTAGTATCGAAAAATATCGAGGGGGTTAACTTGACATCCCCTCCTCCTCTGCAAACAGTACGGTTAACCCAATTTACCCATGTCCTTAATGGATTGTCACAAGTTCAGTCTGAAAAGTTATTCAGCATTTCAAAATACATAGCAAGGGCGTAGCCAGCTTTCAGTCAGGGCTAAAAGTCGATCGCCAAAATATTTCGGTTTTCAGGGGGCTGTGATTGTGGCGTAAACAAGCCAAAACTAAGATTTATTTTGAATTTTACAAATATTAATGCAACTTCCCTCAAAAGTGGACCAGAAGCTTCAAATAAAAATAATTGTAAAGCTATTTTCCTCTTCTATCTCATGGTCTCATTTTATTGAGGGGGGGGGGGGGGCATTGGGGAATGCACCCATCGCACCCCCCCCCCCGGCTACGCCTATGCAAAGCACAAAACTGCCGTGACGTTTCGGATGTGTTCATTCCAATGACATAAAGCTATCTAATTTTATTTTTATTATCATTTGTCTGTATTTTAATGTTTTGTCATGTAGTTTGAGTAGAACTTGGTGTCATATCCAAATGCTTCAAAATCGAGTGAAAAATATTTCAAAAATCTTTTTATAATTTGAGAACTTATTTGTCCGGAAATGTTAGATTTCTGTAGCCTGATGAGAGAATGTTCTCTGTTTAATTCTTTGATTGATTTGGAGGATTTTAATTTATTTTCCCATATACGTGGTAAGATGTCGTCCAATTTAGCATTAAATAACTTGGCCACTTCTTCATTCGTCATGTTGCTGTTGTTTCCCATACTATTTCTTGTAAATTCCGCAATCGAAAAATTATTAGGTAAGAAACCTTTGTAAATAAGTGAATTGATGATGCGTTTTACGGCATCTCTGGGTTCTAAACATTTTTCTGATTTTATCAAGGCCTCATCACTGATGTGAAGATTCTGTCTTATATTGCTGACGCTTGCTTCATCTTGAACGATTAAGTGGCTGACATTTGCTTGGTGTAGTATGACGTCAGTGTCGCGTCTCATTGTTTCCACGTGACCAATATAGTCGTACTTGATGCCACATGGGTTGCAAATTTGATGCATCGTCGTCCAATGTTCGTTTCCTCCACTTATGTCTGCCTGTTGAACCTTGGAAAGTGAATGAGAGAGAAACTCTTCAAATGTTACATCATGCCCACATGCTTTTGACACAGCACTCGCTTTCTCACGATATCGCTTAATGATCCTTCTACCCCAGCTCTCCCAGAATCCGTTCAGCTCCGGGACATAGAACTTATCAATATAAGCCGAAACTAATCTCTCAAACGGTTCCCTAACAAACATGAACTTAAAATATGATTTAAGAATGATTTCCCGTTGAGAACTGTTATAATCCTTCATAGATTTAAAACGAATGCTGTGCGGGTCTAACTTGATATTTTCAGGATTTCCCTTCGTTTCATTTCTGAGTTTTTCATTTGTCAGAATTGCAAATATTTTTTTCCATGTGGTACAGCCAACCTTTGGCACAAAACAGTAAAGGAGTTTGTGAGTCTCGTCTACTAACATATTGGCTGTAAAATTAGCAAGTGATTTGTTGCACCTCGTTTGAACGTTTTTTGGTTTCGAAAAATAGTAATTCCCATATTTCGATTTGTTGAAGAGTTCTTTCTCAATTTGTGACTCAGCAGTGGACAACCTTACCATTAATATATTAGAGTCGACGCGCTCGAGGAACAACTGAAATGAAGGACAAAAACAGTGCATATGTAATATCTTTGACATTCACTTATAACATAATATTAGCATTGACTAACCATTTTTTTAAATTGAAGCAATATCATCAAACTGCATATCATTGGAAAGCTCAGAGTATGGGATTTAAGAAACTAAAATCCTCTGCAACATTTCGTTAAATAATTATGAGGCTTCGAAGACACTACCCGTCAAATTGTCTTATTTTTTTCTTAAAAAAAGGCAAAAAACGACTCCACCTTAAAAAATGCTCCAGACACATAACTATAGTGGCTAGAGATTTGAAACATAGCTCAATAAATTGTACAATATCTTGCAATTGTTCCACTTTTTAAATGAATCCTTAGCTTTATTGGGTAAAAAGATATATCAAAATATATCTGGCTACACCTATGTTTTTTGACAATTTTAGCAATAAAAATGTTTTACTTAATATAGTGTCCAGCAAATGACAAACGGGGTGGAGTTATGGTATTTTACAGTAAACATTTTATTGACTAGTACTCATTTTTTTAGTTTACACGACCACTGATTCCAGTATCACGGTGAGTATTCTTAATGGATATAGAGCGTTTGACATACAGTTTGAATTATTTTGCAAATATAAGATTCATGTAAAAATCAAACCTCCTTAAATCTGCTTTATGACAACAATATTTAAGCTTTGTGTCTATCTAAATTATACTAGCATAGTGTTGCTTGATGTATCACTTGCTATGCATATTTTTATAGTTTTGAACAATTATAATAACACTATATATCTTACAGAAAGGTTCAGGAAGGTTATCGCAAACAATTCCAGTTAGTTATATCTTGGATTATGACTATTGTCTGGCCATGAAGAGATCCATTCGCACATCTAAAAAAAGATCATATGCGATAATGATAAAGTCAAACGGACTCGGAGTCATTTAACTATAAGCAATCAACACACTTTTTTCAAAGACGTTGACCTCATTTTTAACAGAAATGCAATCATTTTTTTATATGTTTAATGCATTACTATTCTTTATTTTGATGTATCAAATAGTTCTTGAAAGAAAAATTGAATTGCTCTAAGATTAGTGTTCCCCATGTTATTTCTCCATTAAAAAATCTCATGCTATCCATTGGGTTCGGTTCATTTGGTCATCCAAATTCAGTATACAGTCAATGGAGCAATCAACTTTTCCTTTTAGGAAAAAGAACATTAGGAAAAAGCACATTCTAATTACGCATTTAGCATAACAACAAAAGGTTGCATTTATAAGGTCAACATTTTTGAAAAGTATGTTGATTGGTCCATTGCCCCTTTAATATCACATAAGCCTGAATAACTAAATTCATCATTATATATAATTTTCTTGGAGATAATGAATGAATCTAAAAGATACGGCCAAGTTCATGATTAGAAAAATTATTCATAACTAAGTTAGATGTTACGCGGTAAACACGATACAAAAATATGTCATATTCCGCAACGAATATATCATATTCACTTGCGGTGTATGACAGATTCACCTGCGGTATATGGCATACACACTAACCAATGAGAACGTGATACGGAAGTACGCAATTGTCAATTGCATCGATCGAATGAACAAGTAAAACGTTATAAATTATTATAATGATAACTGAATCAACAGTACTGTGTATCGAATATATTAATTTAGCAGAAGTATCAGTCACCAATCTCGCGTAATAAACTTACTCAATCAATCCAGGATTCATATATTAGTACTCGACGCACTAACTATATTGGTAATCCAGCGTAGTTTTACATTTAGAGTCGATTCTCGCAACCAATCAAATCAAGGCTTTCTGTATCACGTTTTCACCTGCGGTATATGTCATATTCACCTGCGGTATATGGCATATTCCGCAAGTGAGTATGACATATTCCGCAAGTGAGTATCGGGTATTCACTGAAATCAATGTATCGCATATTCACTGCGGAATATGGCATACTCGCCTGCGGAATATGCCATATACCTCAGGTGAGTATGGCATATTCACCCGTATCACAAATACCGCGCAACCATGGATGTATGCCATATACCGCGTAACATTAGAATCGTCTCAAATTGTTTGCGATAACCTACGTGTTCCTTTTCAGGTTTTGACCCCACCCCCTTCTCCCGCCATTCAAGGACCAATATTTAATTTAATACAAATAGTTTCAAATTCGGAGAAAGATTTCAAAATGAAATATTATATTATTCAGTAATGCAATACAAATAGTTTCAAATCCGGAGAAAATTTTCAAAAAGAAATAATATAAATCTCATGGTATCCGCTGCATATAACATCTCACCTTTATTGAATATATTCCTGTAATGAAGATCAACGTTGCTATAAATAACTTCTTCAATGATGCGAAGGTCATCATTGTGCTTTTTATCAAAATTCCAAAAATTATAAATAAAAAATTATTGATGTTGGTATCTCGTTAGTAATTCTACGTCATTTGTCAACGTTGTAGTCTACTCTATAGCAGTATAAACTCTTCATTTTCGACAAGTTGACAACCCATCATGAATAATTGAAACAACAGATTTAGTAAAACAATAAGTACATGTAACCTATAACACAGTGTTTAAGTAGGAACAATCGACAGTTGTTTCGTTACGCCCCTGCTAGCATTATATCAGAATTTTAATCGTGGGGTCTACACTTGTCGCCACTATCCATTACAAGCTAAATGTAGACACAGAGACTCTGATGAATCAGAATTAGAAGTTTAGGTTCAAAATTAATAATTTTAAGACCTTAAAGGAGTATTTACTTCATAACATTACATAAATAGGCTACGGCATTTTTAAACATTTTTGTTATTGAAGCTTGTAAGCGCATATGACAGACTTATCAATCGATTTTAATATATAAAATCGTGAGTGGGTGAATGGATGGTAAACAAATGTTATTTTGTCTAGACTGAAGTATAGGCTAGGAATCAATGTTACTTGAACAAAACCACTTTTTGTGCCCCCAAACCCAAAAACGCAGATGCAAGTAGGTAGTTACCGGTTTCACCACCACTTGTCCAGGTCAGGGCTCGTTTGTCACTAGACTATGGCGGGTACTACTAGAAAGTCCCCTATAACTTTTTTTTTTTTTTTAATAAATACTCATTTATTTCTTTAAATCATTAAATAAATTTACATTGTAATCACGGCGTAATCGCCCATAAAGGGCATTTCTACTGCCGCTTTAAGTGAATTTAAATACAATATAATGTTATTGAGTCATATTCATAGTTAGTATAAAAATATATAAAGTTTGAATACAATCTGTTTTACTGCCTGCCTGTACCCCCGTTGGTGCCCTGAAATTGAATTACTGTTTTGATTGTTTAATTGTGTTTAATAAAATTTATAACTTAAGTTACATCTGGTTTAGTGTCTCAATTTTCATATCACCCTTATGTAGCCAATAGTTATGCAAATTAAAATATGTCTAATATAAAAGAAAATGTTAATTGAAAGCCCATGAGATAACAGACGGGATAATACACACAGTTCCCGGGAATAAACGCGCCGAACGAAATCGTTATACTTTGAATGATTTCGTTTCATGAATAATCTTGTGTAAATCCCTATTATTGATACAACTGTCACGTGATCTGCTGATTTTCAGAAGAAAGTAAAACTCGACAAAACATAACAAAATGTCCAATAAACTAGCATTTATCGTATTTACAACTGTAGTTTTATACCATGTAGAAGCTCTTTTATACAAGGATTGTGGTGAGTTACTTCTTGTTTATTTGAAATATTTCATTTTTACAGAAAGAATTGTGTGATTCATGTTCACATGAATTTCAAAAATGAGTCTGAATTGAAATTCGAAATCAGCTGATTTTACTCTTCATACGATACATTTGATTTTAATTTCTTCTGTAGTTTCCACTGAAACTCAAGTTTCCCACAGTCGAACGCAGTTTGATTTTGACAACCCTGAATTGAGACCCTATCTGTTGTAGTATGTATCCAACAGACCGAATATAATATTCGGTCTGTTATGATTGATATATTTCCTATGGAAATCGCGGTGATATTTTTTGCACATTAATTTCTCGTTTATTATAAGAATGTTCACCTTGAAAATTGGTGAATATGTTGAAGAGATGTTCATCTTAAACTAGAAGCAAACATATTTGTATAAGGCGGGTACAAGTTGATATAAAATAATGAAATGTTCAGACTCACCGAAATTTCAGGATGTGTTCATAAGTACATCGCGAAATCAATGTCAAGGACGTTTGCGTTCACGAGATCCAAACGAGATATGCAAATTTTGAAATTGACAACACATGACCACTTGATTACCTCGGCCTTCTTCATGAATATTTCCGCTCTATTTACTATAAATGAAGAAAATTAATCGGGATAATGATAATAAATGACTAGATCTAATAAATTCCCGCACAAATGAAATTTAGCAATACGCTTCCGTAATGTTGCTCCCGCTCCACGTGTTATTTGTTTACAAATAGACTGACGTCACTGGCTAAATCTCGTTTATCGTGAGAATTGGCATTGCCAAAATGGCTTGACCTAATCAATGGCTTCGCTACAAGAAGCGTCTGTACATTTTATGAATATCTTCAGTAAGAGGACAATATACGAAAAAATAATATTGTGAGTTCTTTATAAGGTAATCATTTTATCATTAAACAAACTTATTTGTAACATTTATACAACACCACATTTTACAATAGGTGACTTACAGTCTGAATATTTATTCAGACGAAGGATACAGTCTACTATCTGTTGCAAGACTTAAATGCCTGGCACAACCATCACCATGTTATTACAGTGGGGGACAAAAATAAAACTCAACGTTCACAAGTTGTCACAATGAGCTAATTTCCAAGTTTCGTGTCTCAAACTCTCCCAAGCGGTAGAAAAATAATTCCCGTTCACTAAAGTAGCACAATAAATGAATCCAAAGCTTCATACCTGCAAATAATGGATAAGATCCCTACCAAATCGAATGAATGTTTTCATGAATCGCCATGTTTGTTATCCAAGGACGGTTGACTCCCAGAATGCAACATCAGTTGGCCGTATTTACTCATGACAGGTTTCAAAATGGCGGAACAGCATTTTGAGGTGTCACTAGGGTAAATCATTGAAAAATATTGAAAAATCACAAATTCAAGTTCTGGGGTACATATCGCCATTTTCGAACGAACTAGCCCATACAATGACTATATTTCTGCGTTCCCCTATACATAACTTACTATATTTGCACATAGATGGCTATGCAAAACACGGTATTCCCAGCCCATGTGAAGTCTTTTGCAGAAATGTTAGAAATGGTGGGAACACTTACACTACTTCAGTCGATGTATAACATCATAAAATATCGTTGTAATAATGGTAGAACGCTAACTGGAGTCGGGAGACAGTGTAATTGACGAAAAATGTTGAAAAAATGTTGAAGAGATGATAATTTTCAAGATGGCTTCTCAGGAAGTTGGGTAATGCGCATGCGCTTCCATGCCATGAGATTTCCGCTTCCGGTTATACGCATGCGCATTGGCAAGACTTCCTGGTCAGACGACATGGAAAATAACAAGTTCCAAATACATTTTTCGTCAATTACACTGTCTCCCGACTCCAGTTAGCGTTCTACGATTATTACAATGATACTTTATGATGTTATACATCGATTGAAGTAATAAAAAACACTGTCTACCCGGAAGTGGTATTTACCGGAGTGACACCTTGAAAGCTGGCACGTGTCATGTTGCATTCTGGGAGCCAATCCTCCGTTCCGGCGCAATCGGGCGACAAAATCACCTCAATATTTGAAGAGTCGGCATAACATGTGAATATCCACTTCAACTTTTGTAGTTCTTATTTGTCATTAGGGACACAAATTCCACTATATTTGGACTTACTAAGACGGAGAAAATAGAGCACTGAATACACTGAGGTAAGAATTTTTTACATGTGCGACAGCATGTAATTTTAATAGCTTTTGCAATTCTTTATGATCCCCACTGTAAGTGTTTTAAGTTTCGCAAGGATCCTGCCATGACCCTTTGACCATGGTAATGTTATCATCAAGCCTGATATAACTGTGACAATGCTATATTATATTGCATGGCCTGTCATGGCCGTGGTAATGTTAAAACCTGATATGATCGTAACAATGCTATGCTATATTGCGAGGCCTGACATGACCATGGTAATGTTAAAACCTGATATGACCATGACAATAGTTGCAAGGCCTGTCATGACTGTGGTAATGGTAAAGCACAATATGACCATGACATTAATTGACATTTAGAATCATGAGAATACTGTAATGAAATTTTTTTAGTTTATATAACTACTACTACATGTACTACTCCTTTAACTCATAATTTCCACAAACTATAATTCTAATCTCATTCAAGAATGCCTGAACATTGTCACTGTCATATCAGGGTTTAACATTACCACGGTCATGACAGGCCTTACAACCATTGCTACAGTCATATAAGGCTTTAACATTACCACGGTCATGACAGGCCTTGCAATATAATATTGTCACGGTTATACCAGGCTTTCACGATAACAATACCATGGTCATGGCAGGATCCTTGTGAAACTTAAAAACACTTCATAATATGGTGACAGTTGTGCCAGGCATAAGTCTTGCAATAGATAGCATGTGCCTGAATTACAGTGTGGAACAAAAATAAACCTCAACCATCAAAAGTTGTCACAATGAGCTAAAGTCTAAGTTTCGTGTCTCAAACTCTCCCAAGCGGTAGAAAAATAATTCCTGTTCACTATAAATAGCACAGTTAATGAATCCAAAGCTTCATACCTGCAAATGATGGATAAATCCCTACCAAATTGAGCGAATGTTTTCATGAATCACCATGTTTGTGATCCAAGGAGGATTGACTCCCAGAATGCAACATCAGTTAACCTTATTTACTCGTGACAAATAGAGCACTGAATACACTGAGGTAAGAATTTATTACATGTGACAGCATGTAATTTTCAAAGCTTTTGTAATTCTTTATGTTCCCCACTGTACCTCAAAGGGGGCTCAAAGGCTTTCTGATCGATCTGACACCAGAGCCTTTGAATCGTTTGAGTCCCATTTAGGCCACTAAAGAATTGTGATCAGTGAAATTGAAATACTGTAATCAGCTGCTTATTATTAGCTGCTTACTTTATATCTCTAAATTACATCAACATCCTCCAATTTGCGAAAGTCTGTAAGTTACATGTATCAGCTGCTTCTGTGTCAATCAGGACGTGCCTTTATCCCCTGTAAGTGGACAGTCCAGATCTACATAGACTGATAGACGCAGCTGAGAACTTAGACTTTTGTAAACGAAGGATGGAGATGTAGGGAGCATTTGGAGACATAAAGTATACAAGCAGCTGATTTCAGTTTCAGCCATCACAATTCTCTAGCGGCCTATAGATTCCTTGAATTTATACCAACATTGAGATATATCATCAGTACATATGATAACTGTATAATTTCAGGATCTGCTGAAGGTAAAATATTGAAAGTGTCAGCAGATGTCTGCCCTGGAAATACACCACCCTGCATGTTGCCAAGGGGACAGAATGCAACAATCACTATGGACTTTTCAACAAGTAAGTTCTGCATATATTGTGATTTGAAATTTTTTTAGCCAATACTTGAAAATATTGTCCTTATCTCCAAAAATGTGATCTACTTAAGCATCATTTGGAGGGCTGGCTAAAAGATTAAGGAAGGGTTCATATTCAAAGTTTTTGCATTCATGAGATTTTGTAGTTTAAAGAAATGTGAACACTGGTTCTCAATAAATTTAGGGCATTCCAATAATATGAAAATCTGATTCAAATGAATTTATAAGTCATTCAAGAAAGACATAATTATTGATATAATTCGTTTCATTTTGAAAAGTTTGGTTATCATTATAAAACAGTGATTTAAGTAAACAAAAACAAAATAAGAAGTTTGATTTCAACTTTTTTTGCCATTCAAGCAGGGAAGATAAAAAGTACAAATGACTGGTCACATGACATAACTGGTGATTAGTACTTTTCATCTTCCCTATAAGCAGGGATTTAGGACTTTCCAGGGAATTAGTTCATCTAATGTGACCTTGAAGCCATTGAGCATCTAGAATACATATGTGGTTTAATAATAAATTTTAAAAAGTATAATATTGAGCAATTTTGTATGAAGCATGCAACATTTTATAAAATTGTTCATAATAGACATTTTTTTTTAAATCAGACTTGGAGGTGTTGATATTTTAAGTTTCTTAAAAATGGGAGTCAATGGGTCGAAAAAATGGGACTCTCAAAAGTGATCAGATATGGAAGTGTTCTGAATAACGAGTTGTTCAGGTATACAGGTGTAAAAACATGTATATGTCTAATATTTTCTTTGAATAGAAATTTCGCTTACTTATTTTTAGATGTACATTTATTTTTAAGGCGTTGATGTTAAAAGAATTACTGCTGTCGTACATGGTGTTATAGCTGGTATTCCTGTTCCATTTCCATTGAGCAACCCAGATGGCTGTAAAGATTCAGGACTAGTCTGTCCAGTTAAGAGTGGAGCACAGGACGTGTATAAGTCAACTATAGCTATCAAAAGTATATACCCACAGGTAAATTTGACCCAGTCATTTATCCTTTATATATCATGGGCGTAGCGCTCTTTTTCTAAGTAGTACGCCAACACAAGAATCCACCCCAGAGCAAGAGTATAGAGGAACAAAAACAAGTGTTCAAGGGGGTCCGGGAGGTTCTCCCCCTGGAAAATTTTGAAATTTTGTTGTATTTGGAGCAAATTTGCAACCATCTGGTACGCCTGTGCGTACCCAGCATACCAGGCGCCACGCCCATGTTTATTATGTGCTTCGACAATAACTAAAACATAAAACTGGGAATATTGCTTTCTAAGTATACTGTTTTATGTATACTGCAAGATAACAAAACGCAACTTGAATGTCTTTTTTGTTATCATATAACTTGTTCATGATTGGAATATGGAAATAAAATCTGAAAATGTTTTATGCTGTTTGCCCAGAATGAAATGATCAGTCAATTATTTCATATTAGAGACGTTTATTTACTTCTGATTTTCAGATCAAGCTTGTTATCAAATGGGAACTAAAAGATACAGACACGGGAAAAACCATCACCTGTTTTGTAATGCCTGCTCAACTGAAATAATCAAATCCAAAACATGCCATCAATCCATCAATTTTGCTTCAATAGATTATGAGGGCAGTTTATGGTCCTCACAATACATAGGACAATAGAACAATAGGACATTTCTGGATCCCACTTTAGGAAAACTATCAAACTTACCAAGACAATGCTTGCTCAACTATATACATAGTTAATCGATTTAAGAGTGACTTCATCAGTCCATCGCATCTGCTTTGATAGCTTACAGCTCACTCTATGTGTACACAGGACATTTTTGGATCTTATTTTAGGATAATTATCAAAACTACCCAGCCAATGCGTGGTCAACTTTAACAAACAAATTTAAGATCGACATGATTAATTTTGTCTGTCCTTCAATAGCTTACGAGGACAGTTTCTGATTCTCACAACATGTGTACAGTAATAAGGGACATGTATTAAGCTTGTTCAACTATAAACTGAGGTAAACAATTTCAAGATCAATATCTTGAGATCAAATAGGCCTTATCAGGACATTATTGACAGAAACTTCGTAAAGATAAGAATTCGTAAATCAATTGTTTTTACCATGGCTATAATGATGACTTAAGAAGAAAACTTTAGGAATTTCTTACTTCACCGTCCTGTTTGCATTGCCTACTGCAATTGAAATCACTTATAATTGTACATAGTTAAAGTGGCATTGAAGAAAAGAGAGTTCAAAAATCTTGAAATATCAGAATTTCTCAGATTTTTTAAGATAAATTTTGGATCAGAAGAGGCACATTGCCCCTTTGTCAAAATCTATGCTTTGCAGTCACTTTGACTATTTTGTAGAATATGTACAACTTATTAGGACACTAACGAGCCCATAGGCCAATCATACTGTGTCAAGTAGAATTTCCATTTATGCAGAATTTTGTACAAAAAGAGGCTTTATAATTTCTTGGGATAAGAGGAGGAATAACCCCAGAGCTGATTGGTCAAATGAACAGACAAGCAATGGCAGTTTCAAAATTTTCTAAACATACTTCGAAAAATATAAGTTGATCTCTGGCTTGTTAACCAACATCATAGCTTGTTATTTCACATCAAGATGAAGAAAGGTGTAAAGAATATGCCTACACCGATTAAAACATCATATTCGAAAACTAGCTGGTGAGAATTTGCGCAAACGAAATGTAATTATGCCTGTTAACTGGAGTTTTCCCTCCTCTTCTTTTGGATGTACCATACAATGCTATGTAAGCTTGGCATACTGAAGTAAGTCAGGCTATAGGCTTTTTCATTTTGCCATACTTTGGAAAATTGCTGTGTTGTAAGTTTTAGAAGCCTCAGGACTTAACTTGTAGGTGCACCTGCAAAACTAGAGTCCAAAAGAAAAAATGTCATGGATTGCAGTTTGTGGAAGGAATTTTGTACTTGAAAAGTATTGATACTTATATTTACATTGTCTTGTGCTAATCAATGTGCAGGAGTCACAAGAAATCTTGTCATCAAGATAGCAAGAAAACTATTAATCATTTAGAGAAGACTACATGTATATAATGCCAAGATCTGATTAGCTTATGGGAATGCTGGGTTGAGAACACAGACTGACCATTTTGAATTTCAAGTGTTATTTTTATGGCTCTCTGTCTTCTTTTTCATATTAACCTAAAAGTTGAAATAGAAGATTTCACAAGACATTAAAGCACTCCATAATGTTATTTATCGTATGATCTGTAAAATGAAGCCTTCTGATTGGTCAGTTCTTGTGCTGTACCAATCTGTATTGCTACTGAGATTGTCCCCGTTGATCATCTCCGTCGCAATACAGAAAATATTGGTACGGAGGGAACAATCTCAGTAGCAATACAGAGGATCACACAATAAAAACGTTATTGAATGATTTGAGGTGCAATACAGGATATATTCTGTCTCATATTCTGTATTGGCACTCGACTTCGTCTCGTTCCAATACGGAATTTCTCGAGCAGAATATATCCTGTATTGCACTTCAAATCATTCAATAACTTATAGTATTGGTAATGTGTATGTACATTGATGAAATGATTCAATTTTAGTTTTGTGTTAAAATTCAAGAGTCTATATAAAAAATGTATAGGTTTCCACCTTGTTTGAGTTTGAATTAACCATGTAGTGCTGTTACTGTGCTGTGAACATTGATGTCAATAGTCTTGCACCAATCCTCTCTGCATTTGCTCTGTATCATTAATTTACACAGCGTTAATTTTGGTGTGGTTTCGACCCTAAAGGAATAAGCGTTGATAATCAAAATTCTGCCATTTGGACATCATACTGATTATTTAGTATGACAAACTGTAATCTGGTAATCGTGCTGTGCAGAGCAAAATGAATTTCATTATTCCATCATGGGGATATTATAGGTGCAACCATGGGCTTTATTGAAAGCTCATGCCCATGGCGCAATATGGTGAAGGAAATTCAATAATGGGACAAAGGAGGCGAAGACTTGATGTAAGACATACTGTTAATGGTCAATGACACAAAAGTAATCTCTTATTATTACATAATGGGAGCCCCTGATAATGAGAGCCCCTTTTGCTTAAATTTAGCTGCATGGCTATTTTTGCATGGTAATCTCTTTGTAGACATTGACAATATATGACACTGTAATCTCTTATATAAATGTTACATATTTGTTGTGTAGTAATCTCAAATGAATCATTCCAAGCAATCTTTTGCCTCCAAGTCTAATCCATGACCAAACTCCCCCCCCCACCTTTCCCCCACCCTCTTTTCTACACCCCAGAAATGAATGTAAAAGTACCTCTGTACCCTTTTCAACTTATTTATTACCTGAAAATATGTGCTATTTGTGGTCATATGCCAACATGTATACATGGTTTCTACAACAACCAACCATGACTCCTTTCCTGCCTCATTAGCCCCCCCCCCCCACAAACACAGCTCCCACTTCTACACACTTTCCAATGTAGGCAAACATGAGGTTGTATAGAAATGAAGTTTTTTTGTACATAAATTATATTTTGAATATCGCAAATATGTATCTAGAGTGACACCTATCTGCTATAGATTCTGTATTGAGGGATGATTATGGTTATAATGTCTTACAAGTTTTTATTTAGAGTGTTTACTACGCATTGATTTACTTTATTTCTACATATTTCTACCTTAAAGAGAGAGTCAGATATAGCAAGCAAGAAAACAAAAAATGTTTCAAAACTTTAGAATTGTACACGTATCTTGCAATTTTGTCACCCCCTATAGATCTGATTCTGCCTTCTTATGATTATGCAAGTCTTAACAGCTGAGTGTAAATGTGTAACTCATGAAGGTACAAGTATTTGTACTATCAAAAAATGTTTAATAAAGAGTAAGAGAATTGTATGATAAGGTTTTTATATGAAATATAAATATGTCTGTCTTTTATATTAATATTTTTGTTTATATATAGTGCATGCAGTTAAAGGGGCACTGAATGTATTTCATTAACTTCCAATTAACAGTCAGCGGTTGAACGAACTCTGTGTTTTAAGATTCTGTACACTTCAATCCAATTTTTGGATTTTTCGTTAAAAAGCAAACTTAGAATTAGATTTTGCATCCTAATTATATTTCTAGGTTGCAATGAGTTTGGAATTTATGACTGATGAATTTGTTAATGTCACCAAACATAAGACATGTTTAAACACTTGGTCCAAAATGAACCCTTTGCATTAGTTCGACTTCTCTTCTTAAAAAGAGTTTATAACTAGACTCTGCGCGCAGGGTATCCAAAATGAGACTTGGTTGCCAAACTTATTGAGGGGAGTTTATTACATTATATAGCTTGAAAAATAGAATCCTCTCTTAGCAAGCTGATAAAAGATGCAAATCATGAACCTGAGGTGCATGTGCACAGACCTGTCAACTTGGGAACACCTAACATGAGTGACTTACAAATGTTGAACACCTTCCTTCGTATGCGTATTTGTGTGACATATTCTGTCACGCAAAAAAAGCTGGAGTGACTTCAATTTCTTCAATCATTATATATAAAAAATCTTGTATATATCCCATAATAAGCTCAGTTCTGGGGATGAACTCGTCCCATGTCTTCCTTTTATTCACGCAATACTCAGAATTCAATAATTACATCCTTAAGTTGAATTCATCAGAACACTTCATCGCTCCTTGTCGTTTCTTTGTTGAAAATAACTCCATATTTTGGCCATGATATCAGGTTGTCCCCCGCAATGAACAGCAATTTTGCGATTACGTATTTCATGATTCAGTGTGAGAAATCGCTCACACACACTCCATAAGAAATGCTGCAGACCTATCGGTTGTATATTTGATTTTTCGGCTAATATCCCGATATAGACATCATCGGGGAAGACGACCGGCGTGTCACATATGGCGGCGTTTATCATCTCCGTCGCTTTGATGCTGGTCAACACGGCAGCCCCTAGCGGGTAAGGCGGGTACGGAACGCGTGGGGGCCAGGGCACAGTAGATTTGTACGCCCATCGTGGGTGTGTAAACGAAGGCCTGGCACCTCTTACCACAACCCCGGCGATTATTGAATCCTTTGGTGGAGCCTTCCCTTTAATACTTTCAACCATCTGTACCAATTTATAAGGGTTAACAATTACGTCTTGAGTGATACGTAAAATATATTTGATTGTAGAATAACGTTGAAGCACCCACCTATACCCCATTACTGTCTTGGTCGTAAAACTAAAATAATCATCGGGGAAGTCACCAAGTATGATGTCATTGAAATATGCACTCTCTTTTTCAACGTTAAAGGGCCCGATAAACTATAAAATGCGCATGCGTCCAGGTGTTGATAAACTATAAATAGCGAAAATCCAGGGTTTGTCACCACAAGGTAAGCCAGGGCGTGTTGAGAGAACAGCTAGTGTTGATATTGAATTTAAATGTAGCCAGATAAGTTTCCTTATTGAAATTACATATGGTTATTAGCAATTCTTTGTAGGTGCTAAATAATAAAATATTTAAAGTATATATGAGAGAAATTGGCCATTTCGAGGCTGTTGAAAAGTTTGTGGCTCTCGGCTACACCGGGGAATTTACTTCCATGAGTACACACATAAATGTGGGGCTCCCCAAGAGGTACGCGACAAGGTGACCTGGCATCAAATGTGCGACTAAATGCTACTATCGAGCATGTGACAATTCCGAGCATTCATCTCACTGAAGTATTTTGAAGTGAAAATAAGATTTTTGTTTTGATACATGGATTCAGATGAACGTAACTTTATTCTGACAACTAATCAAAACTGAACAAAATTGATTGTACGTAACAGACAATTCATTGTTTTACAATGTTTTGATTGGCTAAACGAATGAAACCAACAAATTATGACATGTAAAATGACAATTTTGAAATGTAAAATTTAAAAGTGACAAACACAACCTCCCTATCCACTCTTTGGGAGCCCTACTAATATGTACATGCAGCAGTGGTAGTGTACATCTTATTATCACACTACTGGGCTTTGTATTCTAAAGCCTGTTGTTTGTAATAACACTGTTCACTCAACGTATGTTTTGTGTGTGGGCAGTCAACGATAATCATTGTTTCATCCCGGTTATATGACCTCGGCAATTATAACAAAACCGTACTAAACGAAAAAACGCAAATAAGAGAAAGCTTTCACACACATATAAAAAATGAACTAGTCTAATCCGCCAGTATAAACTCTGTGCTATACGTAGCCGGGTCAGGCGCACACTTTAATCATATTGGTTTTGTTACCTAAATTTGTACCTATGAGAAACAGGGTTTCGAATCTCCAGTTTTTCACAATGCTCACATCTCCTACTGTATCACGCAGCAGAGTCCGATACGTTTCTGACTGTACTGAAATAAAACTAACAAAACTAAACATACCGATTTTGTTAAAATCATACATTCCGGACCTCAAAAATGCTAATTGAGAGTGCCATTGATCAATGAATATACCAATAATCATTTGATAATAATGCAATTTGACAGTTTTGTTCAAATTACCAAACACATTTTTAACTTTTGAGGGGGAGTGTATATTACTGCCAAACTATTGGAGGGAGTGTAAATTATTAGAGCGCTTTCGATATAAGTTTTCAGCCAAACTTATACTGCAACTTCAACTTTTAAATAACATTTAAATACCACTGGGGAGGGAGGTTTCTCAAAGAAACCAGGAATGTACTCGGTCATTAGAAACATTTTCCGGTTTTCCAATCGAGGGAATGGATTGCCAATTATTTTGTTGTGATTTGAAGGATGAAATTCCTCTATCTTCGTTTCCAGAGTTCCTCTCCAGTGCTACCTGACTTGTACAAGTATACGTATTCCAAATAATTTGTACCGAAAGCTCTCTATTGTCCAACTCTGGAGGGGGTGTATATTACTGCCAAACTATTGGATGGTATTGTTATTTCAAGCCAGGGTATTTTTAGGAACGGAAGCTTTGAATCAGCATTTTGATTATGAAAATTCCAAACCCCAATATTTTTGACTTGACATTAACATGCAAAATGTCACTACCTGCCATTTGTCACAGACACCGAACGCCGAACACCATCACAAAAAAGTTGGAGACTACAACAGTATAAAACCGAGTTCTTTAAAGAGCTGTGCTTTAAACACTTACCATTTGAATCAGATATAACGAGAACTAAAATGCCATTTTTGAATTCAATTTGTTTTTTAATATCCCGTATCTTTGGATTTCGTAAAAACTTGTAATCATCAAAATCTGTGTTAACTATCTTGGAATCGAAAAACTTTTCTGGTGTAGAACTCTTTCTCCAGGTGGCGCCACTATGTCTTTGTTTCGAGCCTCTGTCTTGTTGAATACTCTTGCATGAATAGCTGTCAGTAACTTCCGATATTTTTGGTTTCAATAAGTAATATAAAAAGTACCAAATTAGTAGACTTATTAAAATACAGTGTATGATTCTTATTACCAAACTTCGTGTATAAGATAAACGTAATCTCATTGTTAAAGTATCAATGTCCAAATTATCGTGTACGAAGGATATAATTATCAACGACTTTTTTTGTAAACATCTCCGCAAAAAACGTAGAATGAAATTAATTAATACGTTTTATGTTCAAACCTAAAGGCATTTTTGAGAAGTAACAATACATAGTTAAAAATGAGCCCATGAATGAGGATCATATACGAGTCCATAAACTGACAACCTCATGATAATACAGCAGTATGAGACCCTGAGGGTACTTATATCGTTTTGCCATACCCAATAATGTTTTATATATATCAATGGCTGATCCAGAAGCTAACAAGAGGGAGATTTCAAATCAGGAAAATGTCCGTTTTTGGACCCCTGAATCCAAATATTGGGCCCAAATTTTCATTATTGATTAGAATTGAGGCCCATTATTTGATCATTTGGCCTTACAGGCCTGAAGAAGGCCAAAGGCTTATTTATTGAGGTTCTACAAAATTTTAGGGCCCGATTCTTTGGTTCCAAAATTCTTTTTCTGGTCACCCTCTATATGGCCAAGATTGCTGATTACATCTCTTATGTGAGGCCACACGGGTTGGTTATAGGCCTAGGTCTTGCAACATAGCTTATGACACACATCTTCAATGGTAATAGGTTGATAATCTCTCCCCGGCTTATGATAGCATTGTGCGGGACACGCATGTCATTGTATGTTCGCACTTTTGAAGGATGAGCCAGTTTACTCGCCACTTCCATCGGCCGGGGAGCACCATGAACATCATTTTGTTAGGTGTGTTGACTTTTGCAAGTGCCAACGGTCTAAAATGTCATTGCATGTAATCATTCAATCAATTACAAAGTTGTCATCCTTAAAAATTCAACTGTCAGGCGGAAAATTACGAGGCATTTTATGATTCCGTTACATTCAATTACGATCATTACAATTTAAGGGAACATGTCAATCATCGCGCACTTTGATGTTCAATTTTATTATTATGTGTTGTGGTTTACATTTTTCGAGTGTTTTATACTTGCCTTGGACTATCTTCTGTGATTTTTCAATGGTCAAAAATAATGTCGAGAGTGGGGCAAAACGGCCCATGGGTGGGGTAAAACGACCCACCCTTTGTTATTGGGTTTTAAAACCAATATTAATCAATTACAAGACTCGTCCACACACATCTTATCTCAGACGTTCAAACCTTCGACAGATAAAGTATTCTTAACCCCTACCATAATTTTAGTCATTGGATATGCGTCGGAAGGAAATAAGGTATAAATCAAATGTTAAAATCGTTATATTTGAAAATCAATTGTTCTTGTACAATAAGATTTTTGTATGTTATAACCTTTGTGGGCCGTTTTGCCCAAAAGACGTGTGAATTATCAAATAGACGTCATTTTTATTTAGAGATTCTCGTGGGAGGGGTAATCGCAAAATAAGAGAGGGAAAAGTAGAATTACCTCTTACGTAAAGCGAGATGCTGCTAGGTTAAAAACGGGCTGTCGAGAAGGTGACGGTCTCAGAGAACCATCTTTTTATTCAAAAGATATTTCGATGGGCCATTTTGCCCCACACGGCCGTTTTGCCCCATGTTCCCTTACGTCGTCTTTGTATATTTTGCAAACTTTCTTAAAGGTCGATATCATGATGTTACCATCTGGCTTCAAAAACAGAGGATATTACATTCATTCCACATAACATTCAAGGGGAATAATTGGGGTTTGTAGAAAAAACCGGGTACCGGGTACCGGATAGTAAATCTTCCATGCCGGGTTTAAACTTGGTACCCGGTACCCGGTCGAAAAAACCGGGTACCTAAAAAACGAAAAATACGAATAGTACAATAACGTCATTTCTAAGGGTACCCGGTTTTTTCTACAAACCCGAATAATTGATAATATGTTCAAAGTCTACTTCATTAATTTTTTAAAGTAAGATTGGGGGGCATTTAAAATTTCACTACACCAAAAGAATCATTACGACAATGTAAGTTTTATTCAAACTTTTCACAAATATTTTGCATTAACCAGCTGATAACTAGCCTAGGTCACATATGCGCCGGGCGCCGACCGATGAGTAGTCATCGGCCGATTTCTAAATCAACCGGGCGCCGGTGACTTTACCCGATGTCTTGATTTCGCCGTGAGTATGGTCACATTAGTACAGGCCCCGTACGGCGCCCGCAAACAACTAAATCTGAAGGACATCGGTCAATCTACAGGACACCGGGGAGCCTCTACAGATATACGCGTATATGCATAAAAAAGTGACAGTGTATTTTACATCACGTTTCTCATTCAGGTTCTTTCATTCAGTTTCCAAAATCAATCATTCTGCATCGACTAAAGACATGTCTTTGTATGAGCTACATTCTATAACATTATGATGTTGAACTTCATATTAATTTATTGTAAATAATCATATCATCTGATTTATTGTAAGATTTTCAATAAAAAAGATACAAAATCCAAAGTAAATAATGCATTTGATCCCGCCATCTTCACTGTGATCCACTCGATTATGCTGGTTACCGCAACGGTTCGTTTCGGTAACAAAATGTCGGAACGTCGTTTGATCCCGCCATCTTCACTGTGATCCACTCGATTATGCTGGTTACCGCAACGGTTCGTTTCGGTAACAAAATGTCGGAACGTCGAAGG